CACAAGATGTATATGAAGGAAAGAACACAAATAATGAGCTCACAACAAACAGAACTATTTTAATCGTATCAAAGCTGCAGCACCACCTGCCTAAATGAAAAGCCTTTGAACGAGACAGAAGCAGATGCACACAAACAGCACCTGTGTGCCACTGCAAACAACTATGCAGGAAGTCCAAACCCCAGACCTGCTTATTCCCCACACCTGGCTCAAGGCAGGAAAGGAACACTAAGTCTCACAACACTCCCTGGGATCTTATCAGTTCCACATTGAAACAGATAAAGCCTTTTCTTATTCTTCAACACTTCACGAGCAAGGGAACTTGCTTCATTCTGGATGTTTTCCAAGCAAATCAGGCCAAACTTTCCCCTATTAGGTTACTAAGAACAATGAACAAACACACTGCTTTGCAAATACTTACTGCAGGATGAAAGACATTAATAGCCTGAACAGAGGCCTTGCCTTTTTGCTTATAACCAAACACCAGGTCAATCCAGTGACAGATTGTCTGGGAAACATGGTCAGACTCCAAAGCCTGACGATGAATCAAGATGAACAGACGCGGATCATTACGAGCCCAGGGTGGAAGATTGACATGGTTAACTCTGTCACCATTTTGACGTACTCCAAAATCAAAACCTAGAAACATGGGAGTGAATATTTCAACATTTTAGTTGACAGTAACTTCAAAAAGGTCTTTATAGGGTTCTATGAAAGTAAACCATTAAGCACAGTGTTGCTGATCAGCAAAGCCACACCATTAACAAGTCCCTCTGAAACATTTGAGCTGTACATACTCGTTCAAATGGGGAAAAAAAAAATAAATAATCAAACAAGGTATACTTGTTTTCTTCTTAGTATACCTTCTCTGTTAACTAGAAAGTCGGGAAGGTAGAAGAATTCTGGTATAAGCTCCTTTACATCAGTCATTGATTCATACGAAGAGAGTCGCCAGGTTGTATTGGTAGAGTGAAAAGTTCTGTCTGGGATGTCAAAACTTTGATCTGTAAAGAAATCCAAACTGAATTTGTTACATTGATAATGGATACTAACAGTTGCACATCTGCAACTTCAAGTAGCTAACTTCACTCCAGTGAGCTGAGAACATTTAGAATTCTTTTATCTCAATTGCTATGTGTTACTCATGGACTGCAGGTCAAAAACAGGTCAGTTTTTTATGCCACACAAACCAAGGTTTAAATATAAGATGTACCGATTTATGGTCTAGCTTGGTAATTTCAAGGAAAGCTCTACTGTTAAAGCATACCAGATTTAATGTTACCAAACTCAGCTGTTAGGAATTGATGAACTATGCTAAATATGACAACATAGCATTCCTGGGTCATTGGAACACGGCCCAGATGTGAAAGGCAAGTGCAAACATAACCTTACCTTGATAGGCTAAAAACATTTTGGTAAAAGGTGGCAGCCTAACTAGGAAATGAAGCACAGTTCCACTGTTGGAATAATGAGATCCATAGTGATATGGTTGTACAGGGGGCATTGGATCATCCTCTCGTGCTCCTTTACGATACTCTTCTTCCAAATACTAGAAAAGTAGTAGAGAAAAGAAAATTTAAAAAAAAATAAATCACAAATCTCCTATTTAGATGTATTCCAATTAAAAAAAAAAAAAAACAGAGCTTACCTAGATTGTTTAGGAATAAAACCTAAAACTTTAGGGAATCATACATTTAAAAGTGGTTTGGAATCAAACATACTTATATGTGTCTAAAGACATGATCACTTTTACAATCCAGTTAGGTATCAAAGTCCTAAGCCAATTTAAATGACCTGTCTTCCATTATTTATTAATTCTGCTTTTCCCCACCCCCACCTCTTTTTCTCTAAAACAGCAGAGTCATTGTCCAGGCTTTTCAATGCTAAATGGACAAAACAGTACTTGCAAATAATACACTAGACCGTGGTGACACAGACATAAGTTTGAAAGTCCAGCTGCAGATCCTCTAATTCCCCAGCATGTTGCTATTTCCTACACCCTTTAAGACACTCTAGAGAAAAAAATGGAAAAGAATTGTAATCATAGTAGGGCATGTTAAAATAACAGTACTTGAGGGGAAACAGCTTTCCTGCTATCAATCAGAACAAATACCCACAAGTTCCACTGAAATAATTTCAAATAAACAGCAGTAATTTATCTTCCTGATCTTCAGGGATCTCTCAGTATGTGCATGTTCATATGTAAGAAGGTACCATTTAAATTCCTCAGCAGTATCACATGGAAAGACTAAATTCATTTATGATTTCAGGTACAGGAAAAAGCACCAAGTTCCAAGCCTGTTATAAAACAATTCCCTGGAAATCCCTCCTGGAAAACATACTGAAAATGAGAATTCCATAGACATGAAATAGTGTATTTGTGGTTTCTTTTCCCCACATCAATATATGTTAAAAAATAAAGCCACGATGTCATTTATACACAGGATGAAGGCAAGAAGCAAAAGTTATCCCCATTACCTTATAAGTATCCACATAACGATCCTCCTTTTCTTTAGACTGCACAGCTATTGGTTTGACCAGATTTCTGCAACAGAAGTAGTATTGATACCTTGTAATTTTTATAACAATATTGATTCTCAGCATTTAATAACGCATTATTAAGAATAACACCTTTAGTATCATGAAGAGAACAAGCAAAACTTAACAGCAGGTTTCAAGAGAGTTCAGGAAATAAAAAAAATCCACTTTTAGTTAGTGCTAAAGGCAAACTCAGATCCACAGCACAGTAACAAGCAAGCAAATGCCAAGTACGTCTGAAGCATCCTATAAAGGCAAAGACTTAGTGCCCACAAACATTAAATCAGCTTAACAGGAATTTATTAGGGTGGGACAAATCACTGAGATCTATTCACATGAGGACTATGATTTTGGAACTGGCCAAGGAATTTACAATATTATTTCCTTTTTTATTCGATTTTTGCTGATTGGCCAGGAAGTCTTTAATCATATGAATTTAAACATACACTTCTATTTAAACCTGTGGACTACAGACGGTGTAAGTCCAATATATTGCATTTGCATCTACACACCCATTTTATTTCAACTTCCAAGGTAAAGCAGCCACTTACTATAAAAAGCCATCTCTGAATAGTTCCATTCATGTATGTGTGCAGTTTAGTACAATGAAGTTAAAAAGCTATACTGAGTGATCAGTTGAAGTATTTGGAAATAACAGTTCCAAACATTTGATATTACCTATATACTGATGGATCATTTAGGTCCAGTGTTTCATTGGTGTAGTCGGAAAGAATAAAAGGAAATACTGGATATTGCATGAGATCATTGAAGGAACGTCCTGCGTGTTTGTTTAAATGAGTCAGGTATTCAAAGTTAGTAATCTGTCCTGTGCACCACAGGTGGGTCAAAGCAGTAATGTTTCCATATTCCAAAAGGTTAGGCAAATTGTTAGTTAAGATGTTGTGGTACACATCGTCACGGACCTAGAAGAAAACACCATAGATTTAATCATATGATTTAAAAAGCTTCAAACTACCAAGACTTTCTAAGTTTCTGACATTTTACAAATTTGCAGAGATCTGCTGTAATGTGTGCTGGTTTGTGTGACATACTAGTCACTGTGAAGAAAGTTAACTCTACTTTGGCCCAAACCAGCACAAATGGGATAATGTTTAGTATTACTAAGATTCTTTAATGTCTTAATATATCAGAGATGTGTTTTACAACATGCCTATGGCTGTCTAGAAGTCTAGCTGAGCCAAGTTCTTTTAAAAGTATTGGGCAGAAGCTTATTCACGAATAAAAACTCTGCTTACAAACTAATGTGTGAATAAACATGTTATGAAGACACAGCAAAACACTTTCATGTGTTAGTGTGTATTGGTGCCACATTACCTTTGTATTATCAAAAGCCAAGAGTAAAGTTCTGCCATTTGTTAGAAATATTTCCACAGCATTGTCTCTTAACTGCCACCAGCGCTTATGAACTTCCTTAATTTCCTCATAGGTCCAAGAAAATGATGCTGGCTCAGTTTCTCCATGAAAACTCTGTAGAATTCACAATTTTAAAATGTTACTTTAAATAGTAGATTTTCCAAACAAGACACCCTTCAATGCAGCCAGTTTATAACCCTACAGCATATTGTAAGGGAAACTTGAATTTTGCTGTGATGCTTTTAAGATATTGTTGTGATTTTCTTCATCTTTATTCCCCATCCTCTACTCTCCTCAAGGCAGTGGGCAGATCATGCATGCTCCTCAGCTGCTCCAGTTCCCTATCCAACTCTAGCAAGCAATACTGTATTTTTGCTGGCTCTTAAGCCAAAATATTGGACAGCCAACCAGAACAAGTAAAACTGTGCCATGAATCCCAATTCTGACAGTTCTGTGAAGGACAAAGCAGCAAACCAGCTGGTAGCATCTTAAACCACAGGAGCTGTGTGCTTAGGAGGTGCAAAAAAGCTCTGTAAAAACAGTTTAAAGCTTTCAACAGTATAACCTATATCTTGGTTACTTTTAAACGTCCACTGGATGTATAAACAATTTATACATCAGAGTCTTTGTATATCAGAAGGATTAGGTCAGTTCCAGTTATTTTGTACAGGATAAGGGAGGAGCTAGAATATCCTATATAACATCAGATTCAAGAATCAGATGCTGTGGAGCACAGCACAATTCATACACTTGTGAGTTTCTGTACTTCCTGGTGCTCCAGCTTCCACTAAGGCAAGTTCTCACATGCAGACCAAAGCAAACTCTGGTCATTTAGGCTGATGAACTCTCAGCAGTGGAAAGCAAGGTGCAGTAGCCTCCCCACATCATCCCTTCCTCATTCCTTTCCAGACCCAGGCCCACATCTCTCATGGTTTCTGCCATCACATCAATTCCATAGCCGGGGGCAACAGAACAGCAACACAAACCAATCAGTTTGCCTGGCCTTGCCCAGAGACCTCTAACTCTAGTACTGAGGCAAACTCAGTGGCAGTAGGCAAAAGGTACTCATGGCCATAGTTTGGAAAAATTAAAGCTGGATAACATGCTTTAACACTTACTGAATTTTCAATTGTGTCTGAAGCATTATCTTCAACAAAATACATGCCACACTTTCCTGCAGCAAAAAACAGTTGCAAAAAGGTACATGATATTACAATTTGTATAATACATCTTTAGGTTATATAAACAGTATCCAAGAGTTAAGAAGACTAAGAATAGTACCGGGGCAAGACAGTTCTTAAGAGAAATACAATTTATCTTTCCACATCTTTTAGCAAGTGGTGTGTAATCTTAAAACTTAACCATAGTCCAAACAGCACTCATGAAAACAGTAGACAAGAAAGGCAAAATTGATCTATAAAGTATATAATCCATAAGAAGTCAGGCAACAGCTCAATTACTTAAAAAAATTCACCAGGTTTATATATACAGCAGAATCTTACACCAGAAACATATTTATGAAGACTGAAAATTCTACTTACCTAACAACAGTTCACCAGCAGTTTCTCTAGAAGGTGCTACACTTATACATCTTCGATTAACTCTGAAATGTTTCAAAGTGAATTATTGCTTACAGTTTCATGTACCTTTTGGCACATACCTAAAACTAACAGCCTCAAATGCTATAGCTGAAGACTGTTCAACACCACGACTCTAATGGTTCAAATGCCAAAAAGGGAAAGAAAACAGAACCTCAGCTTTCTAGACTTGCACATTAGTGCATTCATACTTTGTATGTTCTCTGCAATGATTTTAGGCAGTGTTAGTGTCTGTAACAGGCAGTAAATTGGCACAACTGCAGAGCTGAGTAACAAAATGGTAAAAGCAAAGAGGATGAGAATACAATTTGTTTTGGAACACACCAATGGAAAGATCTATCAGATCTTAGATACCTAAGATAGGCAGTGCTGCTAAGTTACAAATAAGATATCCCATCAGGTTATCCCACAAGTCTCATCCTTATATCACACCAGATGGTATTTGATAGCTCTAGTCTTTTGATTTTGAGTATAGCAAAAGGCCTACTATTTTTGACATTTGTCTCATTTCTCACTTCATTTTTTTAATGTTTACTTAGACAAAAAAGTGACAACTGTTTCATTGGATTGGAAGAAGGTGGGAAAGGGAGGTGTAATTCAAACCTTACCTTATATGTTCACTTGCAGCTTTGTCCTTTACAGTAGAGGAGTGAGAAGAATGTGTTTTGTCTTCAAATAGGTAAGACAATGGAGTTTTTATCACACCTATAAAGAAATCACAAATAATAAGGCACTGACATTACAATTCAGACATATGCCTAGAAGTTGTTATAATTACCTTCCTGTTTCTGCCTGTCTGGGAGAAGGTACTTGTTTGGAATAGTTAGGTAGCACCTCTGCAAGCGGCGCCTCTCTCTGTTTGGACCCTCCGTTGGATCCAGTTGCCAAGAAGTTGGGTAATAGACTGGGTCATACCAGAGAGCTCTGGTAAAAATAAAATATGTTACAGTGCAGCAGCAAAGACGGCACATATACTTAATCATTCTGTTTTTTAGTAGAAAGACAGAAGTTTCACATTAGTACACTGAGCAATTATTTCTGAAAAAGTATCAGAAGACTCAATTCTGTAGTTTACTTTCATGAGCTATTCCACTGACTTATTAACAAGCTAATACTGTAGGATTGTTCTTGAAGCTACTAATTCTGATGAGAACTGTAATACAGTGCTACAACACTATTTTGCAAACTTAGCTGCTGCAAACATGACATACTAGTTCTGCAGAGGTTAAAATACTATAGTTTGGTTTCTTGTTAAGACTTAACATCTTTTGTTCTACGTGGATTACTGAACAGAATATCTAGAGGCTAAAGTGAATAACATTACCCCAAAAATATTTTCTTACTCCATCAAGGTAATGCAAAGTGTGAAAACTTTAAGTCACTCTTCACATCAGCAAAATGTATCTGACAAAACAGCCTGTCTAAATGGCATAGAAATACTACCTGGCTACTCAGCTACTCACCGTAAAAAAATAGGATAATAAATCAAATATGTGACAAGCCTTTAACTATCAGACAGTTAGCAAAAGTAGTTCTGATTTTAATATCATCCAGATTTCACATGCCTCAAAGTAGAACGAGAAGTGCTTGTCAGGCATTGAGTCTGTCTTGCTTTTCCAGTGAGATGAGAGCACAACTTACCGATCATGGGTAAGCTGCTGAACAAGCTCCTGCCAATGTCTGCTGGCACTCAGCTCTGCCTTATACATCCCCCTGATGTGCTGGATTACTTTCTTTCTTTCCATTCCTTGTGACAGAGACACAGCTTGTGTGATGTCTCCAGCTATTTTAGAGATGTCTTTAGATTTTGTATCTAGACGTTGAAAGAGACTGAGAAAGAGTTGTGTTTTAAAATGTCAAAAACACACTGAAAAGACACCAGAACACCTTATAAAACACAATCAGTTTGGCAGTAGGTATCTATAGTTCTTGTTGCAGCAGATACAGAGCAACTTAGCCTACATAATGAGATTGCTGAATACCTTCTGCCTCTTAGGCTTCAAAAAAGCTGTTACTTGTGGACAAAGACAAGACAGGCCAGTCAGATGATCAACAGCTATATATTAGCATGCTTTACTAATTCATGTATACTCATTGCAATAAAAACCTGGACTAAGAAAAGGAATTTACCACTGCTTAAATCTCATAAGTTATTCAACATAGTAAAGTTTTAGTGCTTGTCTGGATGGACTTGACTGAGTGGACTTTTACAGCTACTATAGTTGCCTACATGGAAGCACGTTGTATGTGCATCTCAAGTATGATTTTTATGGCAAAGCCTGAAATGTAAATTAATGAGAGAACCTCTGCATCTACTACAAGCTACTGCAATGTACATTGCACCAAGTGGCAGCAGTCTGTAGCTCACAGAGGTATTTAAATAGTATGCTGAATATAGTATTGTATTGATTAAGACCAGGGTTAGTGCAGGGACATTTATCTTACATTTAATTCCACAGACCACAGCAACAGGAGAGGTGATTGGACAAGTACAAAGCCATAAAATTAAGGGTGTAATGCCAAATGTACAAAAAAATGAATATAGCATTCTGAAGTTCACACAATGCCATTTATTATACAACCTATCAAAATGCATATACCTGTAATCAAGCTGGGTTTAGAACAGTGAAATTAAAAACCCCTGAAAGCTAGTGTTAATTTAAAAAAACATGCATAATAAGCATTCAGGCAAATTTGCAATGGGATGTGCTGAACAGAGAACAATCTTCCTGAGTTCTTGCAGCCCCTTTGAGAAGGTACTTACTTCTGCCGATTATTAGCCATTGTCTTCTCCCAAGCAGCTTTGTTTACACTTTCCTCCATCTCATATTTCTTCTGATCCTGAATGGAAGTTTTATACATTAGTCCCTTTTTTTCAGTTGGACTAAATAAGGAAGGAGAGGCTAAAGGATATGCCAATTTAAAAAAGACTGACAGAACTGTTCAACTAATATTTTTATAGCACTTCAAACCAGCAAAGCTTCATTTCAATTACTGCAGTTTTATTATATGTAGGTATAACTTTTCATTTTGCAAAAAATCATAAAATTTTATTGCTTGACAATGAGAGATACTAGTAACTCATTATGAAGTCCCATCTTTGTCTGGGTTAAGTAATATGCTTAACCAAGAAGCCTGTGAGCTTGCTGTGAAGCACTGGTATAAGCAACAGAAATATTTAGAACCTAGTGAGAATCCCCAAAAGCATAAGCCATGCACCAAAGAAAACCACTGTCTGTAGTTAAATTCTGGCCCCATGTAACAGACAATTGTCTCAAATACATCCAGTTTTAAAAGTATAGTTTTTATTCACCAACCTCTTTCAAAGCTTTTATTAGTTCTGGTTTTGGTCGTGGGCTCAGGGGAATGCATTTATAGCCACAACTTTTCAGTGTATTCACAAAGTCTCCCACTGCTTTTTGTTCTTCTTTGGTCATTCCATCACTGTGATTGTGCATTAACTCGTATAAATAGAGCACTAATTTAGGCCCATGCTAGAAGATGAAAAGAAGGGAAGAGGGGAACACAGATGCATGGTCATTCTCCTTTTCACAGCACACTCAGCAGGTTTTTTTCCTCTAACTTTATTCCCTTTTCTAGTCAGACTGTACAGATTTCTTCTACCAATTATTCCCTAATTTAAAGAAAATGGCTGCTTTAACGTTTGAAGACGAACTTTTATAAAACTAGAAAACATGCTGAATTTAATCCTCAACATGATAAAACTTGCCCCAGTATCTTGTGACTTTTCAAATGGCTTGCAGGAAAGCTAAGTTTCTTTTCCCAGTACTCAGCTCCTGCAGCCTTGTTTATACTGCAGGAAATATTTGCCAGAGACTCCTAATTTTGCCTGCCAAGAATGCTACACTTTGTTTGATTAACCAAATTAGAGCTGACAGATAATGAAATTAAGCAGACAGGGGCCATAAATGTACTCAACATGACACTCCTCCTCCAGAGGAGCCACCGCTCGCACACCAGCTCTTCTCTGACTGCCGAAAGTGTTATTTGAATAATGTATATGCGATCAGAAACATGTAAGTTCCATAGGTTCACCCAATAAACACTTTCTCTCCTTAGTATACAGTGACGCAAACTGTGGGATGTGCTACATACTTCATTCTTGCAGTTCCTGAGGATCTCAAATAGCAACATTCCTACACAATTTCTGATCATGGCCCTAAGAAATGCTTTCCCTCAAGCTTGCACCAACATAGAGTACAATCATAATAGCTTTCTCCTGACAAACCCAGAAAACCAGGGAGAACCTGTTCAGCTATTTAAGAACACAGAATACACAATCCCACTAAGAATAAATAAAGATCCAATAAGAAAAGATAGAGTACTGCTTTGATTGAGGACAGACTGCCTCTTAAAACCTTGGTGCAATCAATTCATACAAGTTTCAGGAAGTCTGCAGTTAAGAGTTCCAAGGCAAGGATACTTCCTTTCATCATCTGTTTTTTTAGGGCACCTTAACTTCTAGCTTCCACAGTAAATTCCTTTGTGTTAAAACTAGTACCACCTTTTGTTTCTGCACTGCACAAGAGATCTCCTGTTTGATGTACCACAGAGTAAACATACTCAGATTTAACCCTATCTTGCCTCTTAGAAAACTACCTACCCTCAGGATCATACAGCAACTGCAGAGGTACACCCAGGCATTTTGTATGACGTAACTCTCATTACACTAAACATTGCTAAACCAGCAGTGAACAGCTTTAGCCACATACACTTCTAAATAGCTAAGATGTAAACTACAAAAAAACTGAATAAAGGTTTTAGAAACTTCTCAAACACTCATGAGCTTACTTGCAAAGTTGGGCTAAGACAGTCACGCAAAATCTCCTGATGGTTTACTTCAGGTACCATCTCCAGAGCCTGCTTTCTCTCTTGCAGTGGCCTTGCAGGAGACAAGCTGTGTACAAGAAGCCTCCCAAGCAGTGTACGGAATGTGTCCTTACATGACAAGAGGATTCTCTTCCACTGCTGTTTTGGTGTTGTCATTCTGCTGGTGCCCTAAGTAAAACAAACAACTTTTTACAGGGCTTTCTCTTACCAAGTTTTTCACATTATGAAACACACACAGTTAACATGATCAAAATATAAGACAAAGATTTATCTACCAAAAAGTAAGAGTTTCATTTTAGTTTAGTGATTGTTATTATGGGTTAAAATGCATTCTACTAAAAAGGAATGAAGGAGGTATTTTGATTCTAATAAAATAAGCAGTTTCCTCAATCTGTCAATACTAAGCATGCAACTTGTAGTTAAACTGGATATTCAGTTTGAGGGACTACACAACAATCCAGAAAGGGAAAATTGTGATGTAGACAGTTTAAAAAAAAACCCCACCTAAAAATCAAAGGATTTTTTTGACTGCTCATTTTAATGAGCAGCCCTTCTAGGTTGATCACCAGTTTCTCAATGGATTGCCTTAAAAGATTAGAAACCAGGCATTGGACTGAGGTACGTATGCTCACAAAAAGAAACCTGCCATCTTTGTAAAGTACTGCAAGTATGGCACAAGGGAAAGATGACACATCTATCAAACTTAATTTTCCTGAGCTACAAAGAAAGTTAGGTAGAGCTACTTTTATAAAGATGACCTAAGAGAAATAAAGAGGCAAGAAAAAGAGTAAGTGAAATTCTCCAATAAATCCATTTCATATTACCCAAGCAAAACCTGATCACCTTGAAAAGGTTGAAAAGCCTACACCAGTATGCTAGAAGAGAAGACAGTGGGAAAAAAGAAAAAGCTCTGCTTCCCAGCTCTATAATACAGTACAGGCACAAATTGCTCAGAAAACCTTCATCTGTGAATGCACAGCAGATCTTGTTTTATAGGCTCCCACAAATCTAAATGAGGTTTTAAGAGACCAAGCACATTTGTGGAGTACACAAGTCTACTTAACTTTTGTGCCCTTGTTCAAGAAGCAGAATTTTGCTAAATGTGAAGGTAGAAACCAGAGCAGATCTATTTATTATTTTACAACTGCAGAATAACTGAAGTTGAACAGAGTTTTTAATGCCACAGCTGAATGGAAAGAGGTAGTAAGAAAAGCATTTATGGACAGAATACATTATGCATGAAAAGATCCTAATAAAGGAACCTTATGAAATAGGCTTTAATGTGGACATCTAATTACTTACAATGGATACTTTGATTCCTTCCACCAACATTTTGACCATTTCTTTAAGAAAAGGATTTATTCTGCTAGGCAGTTCTTGCTGGCTTTCCTCTTCAGGAACTTCCAGCTGGGATGCTGAAAGTCTGCTTTGACTTGTGTTTTCTGTTATACCCAGTACATCAAGGCACTCTTCGGTAGAGGCTTAAAATTTAAGAGGTACATATTGATCAGTACCATCTCAAGCAAGACAATTGTATGATCCTTTAGTTGGCATTAAATCAAATGCTGCCTTTACTGCTCTATATTTACCATACTTTCTCTTTCTCTTGCTTCTGCAGATTTTGTCCTAGCTCTCAAAGTCATCAAGTCTTGCTAACAAATGCAGCCATTTCAAGGAAACATGCAAACTGATGCATTTTAAGAGAGCAGCTGCTCCCTTTGGCAGTTAAGTCTTCAGGTAATAATTCAGGCAGTTAACACATGAATGGACTAATGTAGAAATAAAACAACTTGTTCGGTTCATTCAAATAAAAACATTATCCAGATTGTCAGTTACATAATACTGAGACAAATCACCAAGAGAATGATGCTTTATGATTAAACACTCTAAATTCGCATCAGTAGTATGACTTTTCCTCTCAAACACTTCAACACTCCAAAAGCAAGAATCTATTTTTCATACAGCACAACTTTAGCTCTGTCAAGACAGAAACAGAAGAGAAAGCCTACCTAAATAAATGAGCCTGTTAACAGCTAGGAGAGTCAGCCTCTGTAACCTTTGTGCAAACTCAGACTCGGTGGCTTGGATAGGATTTTCTTGGCTCATTCTCCGCTGCATCATCATGTTGAATTCCTCACTTGCTAGTGTGCGCATTTTTATCAGCAGAGCATCAGACTGAGCAAGTGAAAACTTCCTGGAGCCTTTAAGGAGAGAAGCATGAACAGAATTCCACTAAAATGCACAAACCCCCTCAGCAACTCTTTCATCGAGAGTTTGCATCATTTAAGGAAACAAAGCATTTGAAACACATTAATATCTAAGGGAGCATAAGTGTCATTGGGTGTTTGTCCTTCTTGCTTTCAGTTTTCATAGCTATTTGAAAATATATAAAATTCAACAAGTGAGACTATGAAATAAGTTAATCTCAAGATCAGATTTATTGTACTACTTGCATATTTTTGTGTAAAGCAGGTTTAAAAAGTGAATTTTATTCTTTTTTTCTGTATAAACAGGGCAAAGGATTTAAAATTAGTGATACAACAAAATACTGCATATAGCAAAGTAGACTCATCAGCACAAATTATGAGTCAGATATATCAACAGCTTATCAACAAACACATTTTGTACCATACCCATTGCCACTAACAGAAACACAATTTCCAACTTAAAATATTCCTTCAATTTTTCTTGAAATGAACTGGCAGGTCTTGACAGTACTTACTTCCTTCAGAAATAGCTATTTCTATTTATCCTTAGTGCCTTCACCAGTTCCACTAATCTAAAAATTTTTTCACTATATTTACTAGGTTGATGGAGGGCTGACCATCTCAAGAGAAACAGGCCTGTACTAAACAGGGAATAATAAGTGCTTGCCATGTTTTCAAGTTATATCTTCTCCAAAGTCTTAAATGCATTTCATTTACATCAAACATACAAAATCATTTTCCAGCCAGAAGACTCCAAAGACTTTACAGAACAAGTGATAAGGCATCAAATACAGAACAAGCATTACTGCTAAAACTAGAACTGCACAAAGGTTGTACAAACACAACTACAGCGGCATTTTCAACCATGAATTTGGAGTGCTGGGTATTTAGTTCAGGATGGTCACTAATTGAAAGCTGTTCAGCAATGTACTCCCCGCATCACAGCTGTGTTAGCTGCACGCACTAACTTGACTTTGATATTGCCTTATTGTGAAGCTGGCTATTAAAATCACTATGAATAGCTTTAAAAAGCATCTTCTTTACTAAGCAACTTGTGAATTTAAGATGATCCCAGAAGAATGTAATATGGAACCAAGTACTGCATACAGGAGAAAGTACAAGAATGCTACAGTTCTGCTACTCACCGGCAATGCCTTTACGCTTTTGAAACATTGTACAATGTGGTGCAGAAGGTGATGGGGCTGAACTGGCCTGCTCCTGAGTATCTTGGTTTGCTGTTGTTTTTATTAATTCTATGGCTGCTTGAAGAACTCTTAACTGCAGAACAGCTGCCATATCTATAGAGAGAGGCACACAAAGCATGTATGACATGCTTTACACAGTTTCATGAATTTTTACTAGATGTTTGTACCAAGTGAAAGAACACATAGCATGTCAAAAGCTGGAAAACTCTTGTTCTCACAGAAGCCCCTTAGAAACTCAGCTCACTATTCCACAGACACTACACAAGTGAGTTCTCATGGAAAAGCAATTGAATTTGATTACTCCAAAACAAGCTTAATGAAATTGTATAGAATGTTTCCATTTAAATATCCTTAATGAGCTTTTACAGTCACTGTTCGTTCAGATCAGCAGTACACAATTCTTTACCATAAAGCAGGCTCCTGAGGAAAAACTATGACCCTGAGAACCACTTAGAAAGAAAATCCATCACTGGACAACCCCCCCTTCTCCCTCAGCAGAAATCTTAATTTAAACTAAAAACAATGGGGAAAGGATTTATTTCTCCAGTCCCATGACCCCAAAAATAAGCAGATAACTTACTTTGCATCCTTGCATTTTTGCTATTTTGAAGATGACCCAGCAGCACCATGAGGTCTTCAATAACTCGAAAATATTGAGAACCTGAGGAGCTGCAGGCATGAATTGCAACTGCTACCAGCAGCTGTTGTATATCACATGCAAGTAACTTGTAGTCATTCAAGGGAATGCTGCAAACAAAGTTGGAGTTACCAGAAACATAACAATCCTAGCAGATTGCAACCCATAACAAGACCCATTACTAACCCCCTTACTAATTCTGCCAAATCTGCCTCATACTACGTTGTACTTCTTATAAAAAATGTTACTGCTGAAGACTAGAACATTATAATCCAAGACATTTCTTTAGTGTTAACTTTGACAGATTGGATGACTGCAAATTTTTGAGACATTATAAAAGTGTAACACAGTTTTATTGGAAAAGCAATGATGTATTATTATCGGGGTTCTAAGTTAAAAAGCAGGTCTGAAATCCATATTTCTCAAAAAAATATCAGGACAATATCTCATTTTGCAACCATGCTGAACTAAAATTATACTGGGGTAAAAAGGAAATGTCTCTTCAGGATACCAATGACATAGAATAACAAAAACCCCACCTCTCCTTCCTCCACTATATAACCTACCTTGAAGTACAGAATCTTTGTAATTAATCAAGTGATTTAAGTTACTCAAAATCTCAAGTATTAAATCACAGGCAGTACAGGAGAGACCTTTTTCCTGCAGTTTTCACATTGGCCATAGATGCAGTAGAATGCTACCATCTTCTGGGCCTTTACCTTACTGTTCGTTCAGTTTTATTAAGGAAAAAAAGCCCAAAATGCACACAGGGTGACAAACTTGTGTTTTAAAATGTCATTTCACTTGAATGTTTAAGGTTTGGAAAGAAGATTTTATATTCCATCATTTGAACCAAATAGCTAAACATTAACTTTCACTTACAGGCATAATTAAAGCAGAAAAATCTCAAAACCAGTGTTATTTTGTACATACTCTCTGGTAATTTTAGAACGTAGAACAAATACAATACAGTATTTTTTTGCTAGCTTTAAGGTTGTGCCTAGTCTGTTTCAAAACAATGGATACAATACTCACTTTGTTTCCAGCCCGTTGAGAGCAGCCAGTGTATTACACAATACATAGAGCAAACCATTATCAAGCAGTAGGTCTGCAACTTTTGAGCAGGAATTTATGATTTGCAGCAGGAGACAGAAGCAGTTATGCAGCAGAACGTTATCATAGAGAGAATTCTCAATGAGACCCAGAATAGGAATGACACACCACTTTTGAAAGAGTCCAACATTCTTGACATCTTCCAGATCAAATCTATTAACAGAAATAGACATGAGTGACATCCTTAAACAACAACTTGGTATATGCAACTGGAATACCAATCTATGCCGGCATTTTGGCAAAGATGTAAGATGGCAATTTCCTACATTTTAATGCAGTAACAATGCCTGTCTACTAAAGAAAATAAGAGAAAAATAAACACTTCCAAGAGCCACAAAGAAATGAAGTGCATAAAAAGTGTATCTGAAGCTTCAGCTAGCTACCAACTGTCTGCAATACAGACTTCATGAAAATAGAGAGGGTTTTAATCAGTGTAGAAAAATATGATGCATCACCTTTCCAGGAATAAGTACTGGAACTGGCACAGACACTATCAAGAAACCAGATACAAGCTGGCATCAATACAATCATCTACTGACTGACAGCAGGTTTGATATCCTGTATCTATTACTGCTGAAGTTTAAGTTTGGCAACTTCTGGCTTATTGCAACTGTAGAATTCAAAGCAGTGCTTTAGACCTTGTCTTACTTGTGCACTATGAAACTGTATTACTATTATAAGGTTATCAGCCCATCATATGACTATTATACACAATCCTAAAATCTCAAGACATTAGGATTACCTTTCTAGCCCATAACAAATCCTGAATAAGTAACAGTTCTTTGCTTTAGGACAAGTTAAGGATCCATGTTTAAATCTTGCAGTCAAACAGGAATATGTTTTGAGGGGTAAGTCAAGAGGCAGAAGTAATTTGGCTACAAATCCCGCAGAGGCAGCAATTGAAAAGGAGCATTTTGCATGATTTTTGTACTGCTGGCTATAATCAGATGCATGTGCTCCCTGTACAATCAAGTAGTCAGACTAACTCTTAAAAAAATAAATCATTTGTTTCGATAATTGCCTGTTTAAAGGTAATCCCTCCTTTCCTGAAGTGGCTCTTTGGTTCAAGAACATGGTCTATCTGGGGGATTTTCCCTAAAGCAAATGGATTTAAATTCAGGGCCAAACCAAAGAACCAGCTGTGGCATCAAGTTTTTTCCTTAATCACCTACCAGTATTCAGTAGCAAAAGTCTAGTGACTACTACTTAAAACTTCTAAGAATATAAATCAGTTTCATGTAGGATCAGAAAAACAGGGAGAGACATTTGAAGTGCATACAAGACATTTGAAGTGCAAAGGCCTCTGAGGATTTAGGAGATCCCAGCTGACAGCACCCATCAGATGAAGTTGCTTACAAACAGTTTAAGGTCCATGCAATAGTCCTAAGAATTTTAATACATTTAAATATTAAAGCTACAACCAAAGCATTTCAAAACCGTTTTGAAGGAACTTTTTTTAATAGCTGTTGACTACTAGGAAGAAAATAGGAATTAGAAAGCTGTCACATCCTTGCATCCAGCAAGGAGAGCTGCTTCTAGTCCAAGTATTGTTACAGGACACAAAAGCACAGCATTACTTACTCTTCATCCAAGCCAACAGAGCGGCCAAAAAGCATTTCTAAAAAGCACTCTACAACTTCCTGAGTCCCCTGGTGAAGGTACAGCTGGTTGGCTAGCAAGGAGAATCCACGATTCTTTAAGAATTTCTCCTTCTGCTCCCTCCTTGCTCTGTTGAAATATGCATCCAACAACTAAAAATAAATGCATAATTGTGGTGTAAGATTTAAGCATTTCATATAGCTGCACTGAAAGTTAAGTTATTGTCTGTGATTTGAACAGTTTGAAATAAAAAACTTTAAACTTCAAGATTACAAACATCAATTGCAGTACTGCAGCTGCAATCTACACTGTCCTTGTTACAATCAACATCTGATATTATCTTCCTGATCTGAAGACTCTTAGGTTTCTTGTAACATTTGGGAGAGATGAAGTCACACATGTAACAGTTAGAGAATGCACATATAAATACACTCAAACTTTTTATACTTGTTAAATCCTGTACTTTGGTGCATATGCAAGGGCATGCATGACTGTTGCTGCTCTTAATAAAGCCATACAATCTTATTCAAATTGAAATACAAATCTACTCAAAGATTTCATCTACATAATGTCATCATCCAGGAACAGTGTCCTCCTCAACAGTACAAAAATCTCTGAAAACAGTTTGAAGCCTCAAGTTCACCTTCAGACCACAAATGTGTGGATGACTTCTCAGAGTTAACTCTAAGTCAGTAGTGACAGAAGTCAAAACCTAGCTTGCACCTTAATTTAACATGGTGCATCATGTGCTTTGAGTTGAAGAGACAGACAGTAACTTTGTGCATTGTTGCTTCCATTTATATTGGTAATGCCATCACATGCTCTTAAGGCTCTGGCTTACATCGTACACTCTATTTACCTACTCAGTGATTCTATGTTTGTGGTGTTTGGCGATTTGTTTTGGGTTTTTTGTTTTGGGTTTGGTTTCCTAAATGTGTGGGGTAGAAACTCACCTTAAAACTCAGAAGTAAGGCTAGAAAATAGAAAAAAGTTAACTAAAAATTACTAACAAAACTTCATATTTCCAACATGCAAGCTATGCTAGTTCACATCTTTTTAGTAGAAAACATTTTACATAGGCCTACTTTAATGACTCCTTGTTGTATGAGAGGAGATGGGTGGTTCACCAGAACTATAAGATAATCAGGTTGGATAAGTTTGTCCATCACATCTTCTAGCATGATATCTGGTAGGATTAGAAGAACTCCACGCAAGAGATCATATAATCCACAACAGATAAGCACAAGATAGTCTTCTGTACATCTGAAAACAGAGGAATACGGTTTATCACAGTTTGTCTACAGCAGAAAAGAATAAAAAAAGCCTGATTGCCAGAAATTCCTGGGGGACAGGAAGAGGAAAAAACATCATTTCTCCAATACTCCTACTACCACTGCTCATTTATACTTATTTTTAGGTGGCAGATAGCAAAAAGGATAATCTGACCAGAACTACTTGCCTGAGATTTTTTGTGAGCTACCGTAAGAAGTTCCCACTTCTACCACACATAAAAATCCTGAAGCAAAAGGTTACATATCGTGCAACTGTTAATTTATTATTTTGTGTGCTTACCTGTCATCAGGGCTTTCAGACGGTTTTGTGGCATTCTCATTAGCTGAAGAAAAAGCAAGACTGTCCCAATCTTCAGGAAGTACATTCTTGTCAGCAAGGCTTGGCCAGCGAGCAATGGCTGATGAAGGTCCAAGAACAGAAAATGCTAAACCCAACCCTGCAAAATTACTCTGACCCTTCTGAAGTGAAGGCACTCCTTTCAGATTGTCTGGGCGACGCAGTAATGGCTCAGCTGCAGCAGCACCACCTTCACTACATTTCAGGTCTGCATCTGCTTCTTTACTCTCCGATGCATTTTCAGGTAACTCTACTTCTTTTGCAATATCTTCAAATGTTTCAGCAGATGTTAGCTCTGAGTCACAAACTGTTTTTGCAGACTCACAACTGCTAAGAAAGAGTTCTTCCTGTACTTTCCTTATGGTTTCAGAACTTCCTACAAAACCAGTTCGACCCTGAAGATCAGTGTAGTCACGCTGACCAATAATCTGCAGGTCATCAATGCTCCTTCCCATTCTTTCAGTTAGTCTTTCTCGATGAACTTGAGGTGAGGAAGTAGGTGATGCTGGTAAGCTTTTACAAAGCCTTTTAGGTGCCCAAGAGCTTATCGTCTGCTGCACACTAGCCTTGGAAGAGCTCCCTAGAGAAATAAGGATATCTTTAGCATTCTTTTCACACTAGAAACAAGATTTTCGCTCAGTTTGACACTCCTCGTATATTTAAAACTGCAGTGACCCAAATTAATTTTGCGTGCAAAACTGATTCAACACCTGACATCACTTGATGAACCAAATGTGAGCTGAGATAGTAAGCTACTGTGCAGCCATATATTTAGCAAGTCACAAATCTGAAAAATATATAAAATGGAAAATAAGTTTTTCCTATATACTAGAGATTCTGGATTTAAATTATGATCCTCTCAACTAACCCTCAGCAGAAATTTTAATTGAATCATTGAGGGTGGAGAGCACATCTGGAGGTTCTCTAGACCAGCATCCTTGCTCAAAGCAGGTTCTAACAGAGCAGGTTGGTCTATTTGGAGCATTGTTTGGGAGCTCCAATCTCCCAACATGTTTCAGTGGACACTGAAATACTACTCACCAACCCTTTGCACTAAGGTTTTACACATACTTCAAGTTAAGAACAAATGACTGCATACTTTATTTAACAGTGCTTCCTTTTAAGTGCACATTTTGACCTGAAACAGTCAAACTTCATGCACATTACATACACCTTTCACAAAATATAGTTTTAAGAGTGAAGGCAGTGTGTATATCAGAATGGTAGAAACAGTTTTGGGTTAGTCTAGGAAAAGGAGACTTTGTTCATTCAAAAGTCTTTTGAAAACTACGCACCAGTTCAACTGCTGCCTGGTCAAGGCATTCCCATACACCTCTAGCAGGTCTGTTTAACAAATTACATGTTTCAGCTTATCTGGTCCACTGCCTGAGGCATCAATGTGGCCATTTGTCTCAACTTAAGGAGGAAGAGCAGTTTAGGAAGCATGTTCAGTTCCATCCTCCTTACTCTGCTGTTCAGGCATTAGGCTCCAAGGGACAGGGGGAGCTTTGTAAGAAATATCTGTGGGAAAGGAACACTTGAAGGCACTCTAGTCATTTGCCAAAATATTGCCTCTTAATGCCCTTGTTTTTCCAACACTGTTTTACCTTCCAGTGGTAAAGCTGCAAATCCAGTTGGAGTTGTAATCATAAATGCAGCACCGTCTACTGACTTCCCACCACTGCTGGAATTTCTCAGGTACCTAAGTGATTCAACTTTCTCCTGAAAAATTTTGCCATCTAGAAAGAAAGAATAAGAGGAAAGTTACATAAAAGCTTTTCATGTTTGCAGTGTTGATAAATTAGATGGGTAATAGTCAGACTACATGCTGAGCCAATGACTGGAGACGAATGAGAAGTGCTCAAGTCCAAGCAACGGAGAAAAAGTACTTGAGAACAATTTTTTGCTTTAGTGAGATACCTTTAAAATTTACTTTAGAACACTAACAATATTACGATGCTCTAAAGTAATTACATTTAAAAGTGATCTTTACAGGCATACAAGTAGTAATGAGTGACTTTTTATCATGTTAAAAACAGATGACTGTTCTCAAACAGCCTAATCACAGAATAGATAAGGTTGGAAGGGACCACAGTGGTTCATTTAGCCAAAGTATCAAAAAATGCATTCTACTCTTACCCCGAATTTTATATAGTTAGTATCAGAGGATAGATAAACACAAATGTGCTGCCTTGAAATTGGAGATACACAAGTACTCAGAAAAGGAGAAAATATTTCAAACCTGGCTGATGTTTTCCATGTTTACATAAGTAATGGCTAAGGTTGTATAGTGCTAATATTAAAGCATGAGCTGTACATCATTTCTCCTTTTTAAAGGACAAAAAGATTTTTTTAAAGCTTATATCAGTCATTTTGCCAAAGTGATCATCCAGTACAGGTATATTAAGGACAGCTGTTGTCCTAGGTCTGCACCCTCAAAGCCCCTAGGTACTGTCAGTAACTTGTATGCGATGCACTGATGGCACCTGCCAAACAAGTCTTGCAGTGCAACTGATCAATTGCTAAAAATGCTCCTCAGGCATTTTAGTTTTCTAGCAATTCAGTAACAGGAAACAAGAAAGTAGAAATGGAGACTGGACCAAATACACATTTCTGAAGAAGTTTCATTTACAGGTAAGCTACATGTTTTTCTCCAAATTCACCCACAGATAAATGTGCCCACACAGGCTGCAAACATTATGCACTCCATTTAGCAGCACCAAACTTGCTGTAAAGGCATAACCACTAGAGATATCATCTGTAGCTGTAGTCAAAAGAAAGCTCTCCAAGTAAGCCAAGAAAACAAAGTTAACTATAACATCACTCAATACTATAAACTACTTTTATGTTATCACATCCCAACCATTCAATAATTTTTAATATAGTTATTCAAATACAGCAAAGCTATTTTTTTTAGATATTATGACCAGATTTTTATTGTACTGTTTATTTCTAGCTAAATGTGACATATTTACCTATGTGCAGGGAAAAGTAGAAGTTAGTAGGATTGTGACAAACATATGTATTAGTGGGAGGGTGAACTGCTAGGAGGAAATTGAAGACCAGTGTCAGCAATTCCAGGTCTGGGGGAGATCCAAGTACTTCTTCAATTATTTTCACAAATGACCTGCAAACCTCCCGAGGCAGGGATGCAAGGTGCCCTTCTTTATGCTCCTAGAAAGGAAGAGCAGTACAACTAAGTTCCATTTGACAGAAATTGTCTCTCTTTAGAATTGTCATGCTCTAGTTGAACAGACAAGAAGATCAACTAAATAAGCTGTATTCTTTAATTTGGAGGAGCTACTGTACCTACTCCTTGTTAGCCAAGTCTAGCGCACTCAAAATTCAGACACAAAATATTGCAGGTGTTTTACAAGTAGTTTTCTCTACAGTGTTCAGCCTCTTCTCTCCCACCCACCTCAAGTAAAAATGACTATTTGCCAAGCACAGAGTAGGATTTCAGAGTGAGAGTACCTGCAGAACCTGACAAGTTAACAGGAAGTGATGGACCACTTGAGCTTTCAAAAGCTGTTTAATGTTAAGCATCTGTTGATGATGGTTAGCTCTGATAAGGATTTCCAGAGCTGCTAACAGAGTTTCCCAAACACCTTGCTGAAAAAACAAAAACAGGAACATGGCTTCAAAAATATATTTGTGAATTTACACACTGCAGAAAAAAACCCACAAAACCCCACAACCAAGTCAAGTTAGTTTTGCAGCTAAGATGATGACTAAATGACTGCAAAGAGTCAGATCAGAATTAGAAAGTATCAGAAAAGTTATGCATGTATAAAACTAAGCATATTCTACTGATTAAGCTACAAAAGAGAAAATACGTGTCTAAAATTAGCTTTGTATACTCTTTTCTATATTAATACTGGATGGTTTTTTCCAACAGTTTAACTTCAAAAGAAATCAGGTCTTCCTTAGTTTTAGTAAGTCTCTCCACAAAGAATTCATCAATTCAACTAACAAGTCATACACATACATCTCATTTAGAGAATTTAATGCACTAAGGCTATCTGCATCATTGATAATGGGAACTCCATGCTACTAACAACTATTCAAAGAAAAATAAGGACCATTATTTTAGAAAATTATAGTAATCACTAACATTTAATGTCAAACCTTATAATACTTCATAATTTTTTCAAACATTGACTTTTAGACCTAAAATACTTCTAAAATGAAAGTACTTACCTTTGCTTTAGACCATATCTTCCAGTCAAGCAGCAGCTTTTCCAACAACTGAACATCTTGAATAACTGCAGTAGAATCTGTGTTGAGCTGGAACTGCCCATTTTCATTTATATAGAGAATCTCATCGCTGCAGCATCCTTCAAGGAGAGTCTTAAAAAAGGGGAAATTTTTTTTTGAGTGTCAGAAGCACAAAGCAGTACAGCTGTCCTTCTAATTTATTAAGAAAAATAAAAAGTCTTTAAAGTGACAGCATACTCCTGACAGAGAAGACATACCTAACTGGCCAACACCAAACTTTCTCTAAGTCACTGTTCTGCCTTTGTAAAATGTACAATTAAAATCAGAAGTTTCTAAATTTGTGCTAATATTGAACAAAGTATCAGGTTTAAAAGAGGACACTACCTTCAGCATGGAAAATCCAACAATGCATTTTGGTTTGATCAACACTCGACGAATCATAGAATAACCGTTACAGTTGTCCATCTCCTGTATCCTCTGTTGATTGTATTTTGTTAAAGACAGTATAAGTTGCAGTGCTAAAGCTTGAGTGTCTTCACAGCTGTTAATCTCTACCACCTGAAGAAAAGGCAAATTTAATAAGACAATTTAAGTGATAAACATTTACAAGAAAAGCCTTAAAAATGCTTTGCCGCAGTCTTAAACCTTAACTTCTGGATTACATCTGTTTTAGAGTCTGAGGTTATGTACACAACCTTAATTTTTGTCTATGTGCATACATTCAGATAACAGATCTGAAGTGGTAATTCCTACTGTGGTAAATTTTGACCTGCGAAGAAAATAGAAGTCCCATTACAAGAATCCCTTTCTGAGAAAAAGCCACTTCAAAATAAATTTGAAATACAAGGCACTTGACATCCTACAAAGTCACAAGGTCATGAAATACATAAGCCACCAGCAATAGGAATAAACTCTGTTTGCCCTGGAAAAGTATGTTTCTTAAATGTTTAAGGAAAGTTTTAAAATAAGGTTCCTGAAGGTCTAAACCACATTTAAGCGTCAAACATTAAAGTTTGATTTTGTCCATAAAGAGATGAGCAATTTGATACATGAAGACTATGAACCATTCTTCCCTCTTTGCTTTCTACAATTCTTGACCTCCAAGAAAGGGCAAACGGTAGTTTTACAAAAATGCAGAAATTAAATCTCACATGAATAGAATTCCAGTTCTTACAGGTTCCCTGGGCACACACCTGTTAATTCTGCTGAATTTACACATTTATACATATGTACATGTATATTGCCTGACAGCTGATCTATTGTTTGGTTGCCTTACTGATGTGAACAGAATTTACAGCAGGATCTGTAGCACATACTTAGCATAAAAGTACATAATATAATGACATGAATAAGGATTTTCTCCTCAGATTTCACTATCAGTGGCAAAAATACAGCAAGGAGCATATGTTTTATGCAACCATAATCTAATGTGCATTTGCTACTGCCCACATACCTTTCAGAACAATACCAGAGGCATACGAATCAGGCAAGTTTTAGGCCTACATTAGTATTTTGACTTAACTGTGGTACTTCAGAGACTCCTAGCACAAATATTAACCTCACCACGTAAAGGTCAGTGAAGAGGTAACTAAGTTTAAGCTCATAGCCTTACTCTTTTTTAAATTTCAATTTTTCTTGGACAGGATAAACCTTTGAACACAGCTGAACAGTTTCTCATTATTTATGAAAAATAAAGCTCTGCATACCATGTAACATTGGTTCATACTTGCATCGTGAATATCCTGTGCTTAATGTATTAAACATATGCAATGATTTTTAGTGCCTCTTAAAAATCAGACACAAAAATATGATGGGTTCTACAATGGCCCTAAAAATAATCTCTTTTGACATTTGAAAGTCCCATTTCTAAATCAGAATGTAACACACCATGTTACATACTACCAGTATTACAAAAAACATTACACAGAATTATAATTAAGTTCCAAATTTAAGACAACCTGCATGATGCCATCTGTATTATGCTACAGGCACTTGCTACAAGTTTTCTTTAACAGAAAAGCATCACATGCAGACTAGAGCAAGGCAGCTAGAATACGTGATTTACTACCCAAGATCCAAGGACAACTTTATATGGGAGAGCACATACATGCACCCTCCTCTTCCAGCCCCCTTACCCTAGCAAAGAGGAAAACAAATGCACCAGTTCCTCCAATTTCATGTAGTACACCCTGAAGAGTTTTATATTCCACAGGCTGAAGTGTTTTCAGGTGATGAGAGTCCAATACATTGCTTTGAACTTCTTTCAAACTGAAAGGTCTCTGAGAAGGCACAGTTTTCACTTGACCTTTCAGTCTAATAACAGGTTCATATATGGTGTACTGACCAGGGCAGCATGTGGTATAAACAACAGCAAGACTCTCCTGAAACAAGAGAAGTTGAAATTTTTTCAAGTTTAATAGAAAAAGACCCACAAACCAAAACCAAAACCACAAAACAAGAACACAGGAAGATAAACACAAAAGCCACCTAACAGCATGCAGCCACAACATTGGCAGTTCATTTCTACTTCACTGTTAGCATAGTCTGAAGTTGCATGTGCACTAAAATGCAACAGGATTCCTAAATTTTAGAAAATTTATGCAATACTTTAGGCACAGAAAGGTAAGAAAGGACTTAAATTCCAATAAGGATCCCCCTCTTACCACCTGAATAATTACAGCTGTTTTGCATTAAAACCAAGTTACTGGCAAGTTTAAAATAAAATGAGCATGCAGAAGTATTGGGTAAGTTGTTTCCTTTTCTAAAGTGCCACATCCAAAATATAAAGTTATCTGTTATTTTAAAAAAATTTCTCCTTTTTTTTTTTTATTCTAAGTCTATCCTTCTATCAACTCTGCCATAATAGGAACTCAATAGAATAAGTAATGTTTCATTAATGAAGAGACTTAAACTGAAACCAAAGCTCCAATGGAAAGTAACCAACTCATTTTCACAGAAAATGTAGAATGATCATATTTGGGATGCTATTTAAAATAGAAAAATAATTTCATTTCAGGCACTTGCATTCTATGCAAAAGTGCAAAGATGAATTCATCACTTGAGCACATGGTGGTTCTTTCTGGCTACTTGGTGTTTTGCAAGGCAAAGTAAGCTTAAAAGTTGCATGACTGATTTGCTAGGCTTTTACTTATCCCATTCATTCCTTCTTAACCTATTCAACATTTAGTCCCATTGTTTAGAAGGATCACATCCAGACAGAATGACTCTTTGCCTAGAGCTACAAAATGAGATCAGAAAAATCCCTCTAGTGGAAACAATTCATACAGCAGCAATTACTAGTGCATGAATCTGAAAATATAACAGGCTCCACTGATAAGCAAGATTTATTTTATTCTTTTTCTAGTGTAACTATATTTACACCTGCATCTAGTATGGCTGTTTCAGTCAGGAAAGATGAGAAAAACTAAGATCTGCCAGCTGGAAAAAGGCTTTTCAGCCAAACTTGATGCAAACGTACTCCCTCAAAGTCTTCAAAGAACTGGGATGAAATATTTTGCTTCCTGTTAAAGCCAGATAAATCCTCCTTTGTCCTGTCCTCTCAGTTTTAATGTTAAAAGGTTGACTAAGCTGTCCTTGGCTACCTTTACGCTAATGGAGAGAAGAGCTATGTATCCATCCTAGATCTTTTGGGGGGGCCTGTTTATCCAATATGATTTAATATGCAGTACTATAGATGCTGGAACATCTGGAAATTTTCAGAATCTGAGGTGAAGCAAGATGAAATGGCCACCTTGTGGGGCATCCAACTCCCACTGAAACAAGTGAGAAGAACCCTGCAGTGATATTAATGAGAATAGGATTTGCTCTTGTCTGCTTTGATCAAGTGAAGTACTTTGGGAGACAGCAGGAAATGTGTTCCCAGTTTCTTGATCAGTTCCAAGAGATTAAGAGCCATTTTTAAGTAGAAACTTACAATTAAAGGTCCAACATCCACTTCCTTTTTTGTCATGATGAGCTCCTTAATTTGTTCACATTGTAGAATCTCTTTACTTATGTACTTAGAGCAGTCAGTCAATGTTTTGCCATATTTACAAGGCATTACAGATGTGAAGTCTGGCCCACATGTGTATAAGTAAAATGCTTCCTCTGGTCCAATATTTGCACCTAAAATTCAGAAAAGAATCTCTTAACTCTTTAGCATACAATAAAGCAAAATTCATTGGCTAGTAGGCTGCAATCAGAGACTTTACAAGCAATGTCAGACTGGATTTCACAGGCTCTACTAATAAAAACAAATCAGTGGAATCTAATGCTTGCTATTAGCTATGGTAGATCAGTGACTTCTTCTGATACATCACAGACCAGATCAATTCAGTGGCAAAGGCAACTGAAACCAAGTCAGCAAAGTGATTGGCATGAACTGAAAATCAACGTAAAAGTGAACAATTTCACTTTTTACAACTGAAAAGTCTTCTATCCAAGTCTCTTCCAAGTTTTCAGTAGCTAGCAAGATTACAGACACCCACAACATGCTAAAACATCCTGGAGAGTTGGGTAGGGCAGTCAAGAAGGATGCAACAATATTAGCTCACTACAACTAACGGAGAGGAAAAATGAAAATATGTAGGAAGTAGAAGACCAAATGAACCTCTTTCCCCTTTCTGGACAGCACATGTCAGGTCACCTGCTTGTGAGAAGTCTCAAAAATCTCTGAAGAAGCATCCAGAAGGACCCAGGTCTGCTGTACAGCTGCATGACAACTGTATAGCAGTAAATCCAGGGCTCTCTAGATACATCAGTTATGCAGACTGTAGTCACACAGTACATGTAGATTCAGCAGGTTACATTTATGACAAGCATCTCACCTATGGCCCACCCAAATATGCTATGCCTACACACACAGGACCTGCATGCACCACCCACCCTGGGCAAACTGATCTCACTTGTGTAGTAGTCTGGACTGGGCCATGGCACCTGAAATGCCAGGTGGCAAGCAGCAGGGTTACAGCCTTCAGCACTAAGCAAACACCCAGAAGTACCAGAAAAAGCTTCCCAAGGAAGGAGGAGAATTATATACCTAAGAAAGCTCCAAAATAACTTTAGCAGTTTCAGAAATAAGCATACTTAACTCAGAGCATTTGGTGGTTCAGATTTTATTTGCTTTTTAACACGCTTTAAGTAATTTGAAGCTAGGCCTTTAGAAGCACGTAAGCAAAATCAATTTTCCAGATAAGACAGACTTAATGCTTTAAGAAAAAGCCAGAGCAAATAGTATCTCTATTTCCTACCCCAAGATATTAAAGAAAAAAGAACACTAAAGCAACTGTAATTGCCAATTATGGCACTATAAAGAAGGCAAGAGAATATGGTAGAAGGACACATTAGGAAGTACACATTACTGAAACATTTGCCTACCTTGTCCCTGATATACTATGCTGCTAAGGAATATAGTGTTTTTACTGTAAAAGCTTGGCATGATAAAAAAAAAAAAATCAAAATAAGCCTTTGATCTTGTAAGGGGAAGAGGAAATGAAGATTTATTCAAGAAAAAATAACCATAGAAAAGTACCATTAAACAGGAGCAGATTTCCAAGATTCCATCTACCCGACAGTCGAAGCAATTCTTCTTGAGATGATGTACAATGGCCAATCATACAAAACGTTTTATTACTGTCAGCAGATAAACTTGTTTTCCTTGGTAGTGCATAATCTAAATTTATCTCACACTTCCTAGAAATACATATAAACAAACAAGTTTAAATCTTAAGAACTGATCGAAATTGCTACCAAATATATTTAGCTTAGGTTTAAAATAATTTTAACATTCGGAGGATGAGAAGCCATGCTGTTAACAACATTAAATTACTGAAGTACTCTTCAACTTCTAGACACCTTAAAGCTCAGCTGCATAATGATATACGTATTCAAATACTGCACAGAACAGGTGAATAGGGCCCCAACTACGGTTGCCATGAAGTCAAGATTTCCTAGATCTGAAATTTTCCCCTTCTTTCCTCTGACTTCAGCAAAGAAGTGGTATGTGACACTATACAGACTTCCAAAGTATCACAATTTCTCCAAGCATTTCTACTATTTCTAAGAAGCCAAAGGCCTTTAAGTATGCTAATGCCCATCATGAAAAACGTGGTTCACATATGCTGGAAAACAGCATGTTGAGGATTTGCTTGTATCAGGGAACATTGTCAGAACAAGTGCACAGCACAGCCACCGGCAATAAGCCTGATGCTTTCAGAAAGCATCCAATTAGCTTTATGTGCCTTTACATAAACAGACAGATTGGACTGTAAAGGTCATCCAAAGCTTCCTGAAAGAGCCTAACTATTACCAAACTAGCAACTAATTCTATATATAGAGGAGCCTCAATAACTGCACATGTACAGACCATCATGGTATTTTTAGCTTCCCCTATATTTCCATATTTGGACTTTATTGCACACCAGCATGCACAGCCTGAACATAGTCTTCACAGTCTGGACTTTAAAAAGCAAGGATGGAGACTGTGATATTTAATACATTCCTTTTTCTCTAACCAGTGAATAACTCACGCAGGCACAGGCCCACCCAAGCAAGCATCAAAAGCATGGACCTTAACTTCGTAGTGAAAGCAGTACTTCCCTCTGCCAGTTCATATCTTGTCTGAAATATTTTTTAACTTCTTCCCTCTCCGTTTCTCTCAGCAGAACAAAACAACTGTGTTAAGGAAACCTCCCTGTCTGACAATCCAGAAGCCACTCTGGCACTCCCTCTCACACCACCTGAGATGGCACTGAAACCCCTTTGTAGCCACACACCTCACACTCCCACAGTCAGACCAGGCTTCCTTACCAACTCGACCCCAGGTTTCCCATAGCAGAGTCTCAGATGTTCAGATCCTTAAAATAATTTAATCTTGGTGCAATAATTGAACAACAGCTTGAGCTGAGTGCATCTGAGGAGGGATGCCAAACAAAGGAACCCCTGGGCTTTTATAACCTCACACTGTAAGGGTGGGAAAGTATATAAAGTACACAAACTGATGATTCTCAAAGCAATCATGACTATCCTGGATATATCTAGAGAATTCCTAGCACACACCCCCTCTCCTACCCTCAGTGCAGATGTTGTCCTACCAGAAAATAGTAGTGCAGATGTTTTCCTATTTATCTTAAATATCTAGGTACAACTAATGTAGACTTTACCTCTGACCAGAAACCCACAGCAACAGCTTTCCATGGAAATTTTTCTTGCCTTCTGGCTTCTGCAGATACTTTAATGCCAAGTGCTGCCACCTGCCCACAAGGAAAACATTCTCTGGAGATTCAGCCTGTGCCAGCAGACCAGCTTTCATCTCATCATTTGGATCCATGCACATGCTATGAAAACAACAGAAAAGGCAAAATAATTGTGTGTGTTTGTTTTCATATTTACATTTTAACCGCCAAATCTGCAATTTTTGGCCTCAGTTAGTTTGAGATTGCATTCTTTAACTTGCACAGATATATTTTTTGATCACAATTCTATTTTTAGAGTGCTCAACATAAGCTAGGGAAATCCTCACACCAGTTTCAACTTTCATCGGTGATTTAACTTGTCTACACAAATCTGTTTACATTTAAGATAAGGATATTATCTCCAATTTATAGAGAAGTTAAATTGTTTATTAAAAAATACAGGTGCTTCAAATACTGAATAAAGTGTTCTAAAATTGTAGCTCTAGACCCATTTTAAGAATACATTACTTATGAGAACTAAATTAGGGCTAAAATGTATACAGAAGATTAAAACCAAGATGGTCACAGGACATATTACGTAACAGCAACTTTCACACCTCAGCTGTGAAAACCTACAGCTGCAAAACCTTCCTCCATCTTCACACATTTGTGTCGTTTCATACAAACTTGAATTGCTATTATGTTTATGACTGACCTTGCCTCTCACTTTGGGCAGTTATTTATACATTACATGAAACATGCAAGACCAGAGCCTAACACTAAGCTAGTACACCTGTGGAACTGTATAAACTTACTTGATGTTGCCCCATCAGTGTGCAAGATGTCTTTACTACAGGAATTAGTTCTCTACTCTCCAGTAGTTTTCTCTGCAAGCTGCTACTGGAAGCAGCAATACAGTATATTCACAGGATTGCTTTTGGACTCAAATACCATACCGAAATATGAATGCTCCCGTGTTCAGGTCTGCCCAGACTTGTATCATCAGTGCTTTGGAACCCAGTGAAATGATATGAATACAGCCATCTTCAACAAGTTTATCTCCCAGGCTTAGGTATTCCATTCCTATAGACTTCATTTCTTCTAGAGATATAAACATGTTGAAACACAATTACAATACAACAACAATGCATTTCACACCAGATATCAAACAAGCATGAAAAGAAACAGTTCAGATACAGCCTAGAATTATTTCTTGCTTAGCTGACCAGTTTCTTTGTTGGATTTTTTCTTTTTTAAAAAAAAAGTAGGCTGACTAATATGCACACTTCTGTTCATAAAATTAGGTCCCCTTTTTTTAAAAAAAAGTAGGCTGACTCATGTGCACACTTCTGTTCATAAAATTAGGTCTCAAACTGAAACACAAACTTGACATCAACTCAGCACCCCACATACTTTTGTTTGTAATCATGTAAATCCACTGAGGTGGATATACACTATCAGTGAGGGATCCCACATGCCATATCATATTACATTCCTATGTTGAACTGGCAGTCTTAGTGTGTACCAAGCAATCTTCAGCTTTTTCTTCATAAATCATACTACCCTTTAAGCATGATCTTGTACTCAGTGTTTTTACTTTACCAAGCCAAAGCACAGACCTGCTAACAAAAGCAGCTCTAATGAGTTCCAAGATAAGGGGTTGAGTTTTCCCTCCTTTTATTCAAATATAGTACAAAAGAAAAAAAGTACAGTAAAAGGTATTCCAAGTGTTGTGAACATGAGACATTTGAAATAATTTCTGTGTTTTTTCCTCCTACAAATTATTATCCAAAAGATTCTGCTCAGAACAGTTTGGGAGCAGGTGTGTTGCCACAAGAGTATAAACAGAAAAATATTGTACAGCTACTGACATTTACAATGGCATACACACAAGGAAAGGTAGAGGATTTACACTGAGTCAGCCTCAGGCTCTAATTTGATCATCAATACATGAAACCAAGTAAACTTGAGAACAGTCTTTTCCCATGACCTTTCAGCTACAGCATTTAATATTTTCTTCATCATAACATGAAGTAGCATAATGATATTTTACTGAAGTTACAAATTCAATGAGACTACTGAATTTCTGAGGAAGCAGGCATTAATCTAAGAACTAAGGCTAGAAATGTTTTATTTATATCATACAGTACTCAAAGAAAAATCAGAAATACTACTACTACTGTTTAATAACCATCATAAAAGATTGCAAACTTTTGTGAAGAGCACATAGATTAGTAATATGTGTAATCAGAATCCTTCAGTGCTATGTAAACAGAAATGGAAAGCACTATATCCTCACCTGTGCTGTCAAAACTGTTCTCTCTTACAGCTACGAGTCTGCTTCTTCTCCTGACTTTTTTCCCCTTTTCTGTTGAATTTTCTGTTTCATGAGCATACTCCAGATGAAACCACAGTGAGACACTGAAGCCATCAGACATGTGTGGCCAACAGTTTTGTCCAACTAAAGGCAAGTGAATTGGGGCTACATGCCATGAAGAAAGCAGTTGGTGACTCAAGTTTTCACCATCTGCCTCTTTCTTACTCTGTGAAAACTTTCCCCTTTTCACTAGTCCAGCAGTTTTGCCATTGGAAGTGCCAGCAGATTTTTGTGAAGAGCTACTACTCAAATTTGTGCCATGTAGCAAAGGGAAGGCAAGGTACTGCAATGGGTTCATATGAATATTAGTGTCTATGATCTTCAATACACCCTTGAGTAGTATCTCCTAGAAGAAATAAATGAGAAAAATTAAACTGTTAACACCACACAGTCAAGTGTCATATAACTAAATAGAAGCCTACACTTCATTTAAATTTGGATTCATATTTTCCCAACAGAGATGGACTTTCATATCCAAACTGACACACATTTATGAAGTATCAAGTAGCAACCTGAACAGACTATGGCCCAACAGAGATTTGGGCATTTAGTCTGGGCAGATCAGCCTTCAAGGTACTGTGCTTAGGAATCAGCCAAACTGCAGCAAGGGGTCATGGCACAATCTTACTTTTGTTATGTGCTAGCAGATCAATTTATATTGCATCAAGGGATCACATCTTTTACCCCATGTTTGAGGCTGGTTAAGAATGCACACACTGTTACTGCATAATAAGTAACAAAACTAGCTGAGCCCTTTAGCCAAAATGTTTCTCTAGTTACTTAGTCAATTATTACAAGCTACCTTTGAAAAATTGACCTGTGACTCTTTGTTCAGTTTGGTACTATTTCAGACCCCACTATATTTTCTTTCATTTCTTTCCACTTGTATTTTTCTACAGACTCACACACAAACTAACAGAGCATTATTTCAGCAGTATATCCCATACAAGCAGTAGATTTCAGTGTTACATAAACCAACTTAAGACAGTTTTGAAAGTAATTCCTGCAGTTAAAGCATTCCTGAAATAGTGAGATGCTTCATAACTTTAAAGGCATTGCTTCAAAGTTTACAGTACTAATATTCTGTCATCCATAAACACAATGTCAGTCTCTTCAAGAGGAATCTTAGTTTCTTATGCTGAAGAGAGTTCCCAGGACTAACACGCACTTCAAAACTCTTTATCTTCCCTTCTCTTTTCATGTTTTGAGAGTGAATTATTTCAACCACCACATTTTATTTGCTATGATGAGTTTGAACATGGCTGTTTGTCTCCTTGTTTCCCAAAATTCTTGGACACAAAAGGATTTTCTTTTTGCTTTATTTTTCTCATTAAGCCTCTGAATTTTGCTACATGCTACTCCATACATACCGTACAAGGTGTCTTCTCCAAAAATATCCTCAGAAGAAGAGTTAGCTCTTCTGAACATGTCTGTGAACTCATCAAGGAAACTAGCAGATCTACCAGCACCATCTGACATGCTAAAAATAAAGAGATAATAATATTCTTGAAAAGATTTTTTTAAAAGCTACACTATTATAAGAAAACATTAACTTGGAATTCATAGTGTTTTGCAAAAACATTTCAAAGTAAGGAAGCAATAATGATTCCAAGATGAACTCGAGAGAGATCCAACAGTATTCCCTGAAACTATCATTCATGACTTCATTGAACAAATCCAGATGGCCCTGCCAAATCTAGCTCCCACATTTACAAAGTGGAATCTGAAAGTCTGGGAACCTAGCATCTACCTGGCAAAGGCTCTCCCCACAGAGCCAGGGATCAAAGTCCTGGGATGGGTTTACATCATCTCCTGCTGTGGAGCACCCTCACTATGTGAAGCTATCTTATGGCAAGCATTTATTTTTCTTCCACATTCTTGGATTAGCTAACTGTTTTTCAACTAGAAATAAAACTCAAGACATCAAGACCTGTGCTACAAAGAAATCGGAAATAAGAACTTATGTTGTGATGGAGTGAGATTCGATCAGCTGTTATTTTTCTGAGCAATGTTTAACACTGTCAAACTAATGTTTATCATTTCGACTACCATTTTTAGATCTGTCAATATTTGTTTAAATAACAAATTTCCACTAGCTCAAAAATAACCCTCTATTTACACTAAAGTTGCACAAGTTTCCTACAAGTTAAAAAAGCAGCTGCATAAATTCACACATGCCAATCAACTTCCTTTGTCAATTTTGCATTTGCACTGTGAACTAAAAAAAATAAAATTGACTGTGTATACATCAAATTATAAAAAACAATATTCAAACTACTTGGACCTTTAACTCACCATGAAAACTAGATTCTGTTTGTGTCAATATATTCAGAAATCCTCCCAAAAGATGTTTAACAGCTCCCTGTTAAAAGAAATACAAGGAAAATGGCTATCTGAAGAATATACAACAGCTCAAAAAACTAAATCCTTCCAATCAATGCCTGCCTGCTACTAATGTTACTGACAATTCCAATTACTTCACATTATTGAACTTTTTCACATTTGCTAACATTCTTTTTTGTTCTGTACACTTCAGCTGCAGAAGGGACTTTGAAATTAAAATGATTTTTTTTGCACGAGGCATATTCAGTTATTAAAAAGCAAATGTGATTTTTTTGCACAAGGCATATTCAGTTATTAAAAAGCAAATAAGCTAACTAGAAATTCCAAAGGATCACGAGGACATCAACATATACATAACTAATTTCTAATATAAACTTATGAAGCAATAATAGATGAAATATTTGAAGTACACCACTCAGCTTCTAATGAATACATGTAAGCTTAGAATGTTTACATATATACATATACAAGCAGATATCTGTTTTTTTAACACCCTGACAATCATTAAATCTGCATCTACAGCTCTAGTGACTGAACAGTCTAGATAAAATGAGACACCTGTGAAACCAAAAAGTTTTGCAGGTCAAATACCTTTCAATGCATTACTTAGTTTCTGGCAACTTAAATGCAATGGAGCTGATCATATCAGTCATTTACACTTTCTTCAGGTCTTATCAAATCCCATGAGTGACAACATTCAAAATCGCTATTAGATGTATTGATACTATAAAAGTGAAGAAAAGATACACAACTGCTGAACTGTTGCCTTGGATAACAGCATTTTTACCTGTTCTATAAGTACAGTGGCATTTCTCTCCTTCTGGTTGATGATTTTCAGGCAGCTTTGGAATACATGAGCAAGCACATCTAAACTTGCATTACCAGCTGAGAGCAAGTTTAATTCCAACATGCAGATTTCAGGATACATTAATTCTCCTTGACTGATGTTTTCAGCTAGGTCATTAAAATAACCTGAAGGACCAGTACATCCTGGTTCTGCCTTTGTGTCTGCTCCTGAAAAAAAACCCACACTTGTCTTACTTGAACTTACTCATCTGCATACAGTTTACATGATTTAAGCAAAATATCCAAGGACATACTTTCTCCAGTCTTCTCATAGGTACAAAAATAGTCCCTAGCTTATATGCAGTTTTCACAAGTGAGCATAATCTTCTATTATGCTTCAGATTTTCCTATTTTCCTGCTAATGCAGAAAGAAAAGGATGCTCTTAAACCATATGCCTTCACTTCCTGGGAACTGAACACACACAGTAATGGCGAAACAGGCAATTCATGAAACATGACAGTAAAATGATTGTAACAGAGCCTCAAATTTCTATACAGAACTCTGAGCTGCCAAGAAAGGAGAGAAATTTTAATTGTTTTACGTTAAAAAGCTGAGGGAAGCAGATTAGTTTTTCAACTCAGAAAACGCACATGACACAACATCTGCATGACAAACAAGGGAAAAACCAAACATGTAAAGCCTCTCCTGTTGCATCTTGGAGAGACTTTAAAACATGTTATTTAAAATTATTTGGTACAGACATATGTTTCATGTACAAGCTTCATGGAAGTATTTCAGTTTCATTTTTTAATTCAGACATGCTTTTAAAATCTTATGTATCTACTGCTAAATCCTAGTCATGCAGGTAAACAGCAACAGTCTAAAACAGTTCTACTAAAGGCAGTTTCCGCACAGGCTGACCTCATACCAGAACGTGAGCATCCAGGTGTGTTCAGTACAAAAGACAAGATGAAAGCAGATTCATCTTTAAAATTAATTACTCAAACAGAACACAGCAAGAAATGTGCACACCAATCACTGAATGAATACGAAGAGACACGTTATATAACAAGGGGTCTATCATAAGTCAAATGAAGCACGGAACTGGGAAAAGCCAGTACGGATTCACTGAGGCCAAATCATGCTTAACAAATCTGATCAAATTCTACAACAAATTAACCTGCTTGGCTGATGTGGAATGAGCAGTGAGCACTGTCTACCTGGATTTCCCCAAGGCTTTTGATACAGTTTCCCACAGCCTTTTCCTAGAGAAACTGATGCATTATGGACTGGACAAGGGGTCTGTGCAGCGGATGGGCACTGGCTGACCAACTGCACCCAGAGGGTGGTGATAAATTGCTTCTTTTCAACACGGCAACTGTCACAAGTGGGGACCCCAGGGATTGATAGTGGGCCCAATGCTGTTTAATATCTCCGTAAGTGATCTGGATGATGGCATCAAGTCTACCCTGGCAGTTTGCTGATGCTACCAAACTGAGTGGAGAAGTGAACACTTGAGAATGGAAAGCCACCCTGCAGGAAGGATCCGCTGGAAGAGTGAGTTGACCTTATGAAGGTCAACAAGGACAAACAATGTCTTGCACCTGGGAAAATACAATTAAGGAGTGCAGCACAGTCTGTGATATGCCCATCTGGGGAGCAGCTCTGTGGCAAGGGACTTGGGGGTCCCGGGGACAGCAAGCTCAGTATGAGTGAATGGTGTGCTGCTGTGGCAAAGAAAGTCAATGGGATGCTGGGCTGCATTGACAAGGGCAGCAGCAACAGGGATGAAGAAGCCATTATCCCATTCTACTAGGTGCTTGGCAGGTCTTACCTGGAATACTCTGTTCAGTTTTAGACCCTGCTTTGCAAAAAAGATGAGAGGAAAGGTTGAGAGAACCAGGTTAGCTCAGCCACGAGAAAACGCAGCTTAGAGAAGACCTTATCACTCTGTTCCAGTACTTAAAGCGTGGCTACAAAGAAGATGGAGACATCCTCCTTCCAAGGAGTTACACGGACAAAACAAAGGGTAACGGATACATGTTACTCTCGGAGAGATTCTATACAGACACAAGAGGAAAGTTTTTCACCGTGAGAACAGTCAGTCATTAAAATAATCTCCCCAGGGTAGTAGTGGACTCCCAAACATTAGACACTTAAGATTCAGATGGACAGGGTCCCAGGCCATCTTGTCTAGACTGTGCTTTTGCCAAAAAGGGTTGTGCCAGATGATCCCTGAGGTCTCTTCCAACCTGGTATTCTATAATATAATTACACTTGAATTTTTACCAGATTGTTATAATTCTGAAGAAAAAAAAATTGAGCATTGATTTTCAAACAAACTACTGATAAGCACCTGTGGAGAAAACTGCTTCTAGACCACAACAATACATTTGAGCAACATGACTTTAGAGCAAGAGTCCCATAAACCAAGACAACCAATACAGAACAGTTTCTGTAACACTCAGTAAGAATATTCATCACCTCTCCATCTGTAACTGCATCCTACTGAAAGTAAAGAAGTTATTTATTTTTTCTGTTAAAGATAGCTGATGCTCACCCTGTTTTGATACATCTCAAAAGATAAAGCAGCTTTGCTGTGTCATATTCAGAAATTTGCTTCGCGTATTCAGAAAGATCACATTTACCTTCATTCTTGGTTTCACTATCATCAGGATTACTTTCACTATCTGCTTCATATCCTTCCTCTTCAGCAAAAAGTTTAAGACTAGAGCACTGCAATTCTTCAGTCTCTTCAGAAGTTTCTTCAGGTTGTGTCACAGGCTCCTTCTCAGTGTAATGGGTCTGTACAACACACCAAGCAAAGATGCTATCTTTGGTCAGAAAAAAAATCTTTGTATCAGAAAAGCAAGTAATTTACAACGTTCCAAATGACTATTTTCTCCAAGCCCACTGACAAAAGAAACAAATCACTCATACCCTTCCAAGAAGCTTGAGATACATTAAGAATACTTTATTCTTACATAAAAAACTGAATTTCAAAGATGGATTTTTCTTACTAACTACCTGATCCAAGTTTTAGTACACAGGTGGCCAATTCATTAAGAGTAACTGTTTCCAAAATCACTATCACCATCAACACACACCTAGACATTCACTCGAAGGTGAAGATATGTCTGCAGCCACTAAAGTCAGACAACATCCCTGTCTGAAGCTCTTCCTTTGAGCATTTGTCACACTGCAGTGAGATGAAAGAGAACATCAGGTTTCAGGTATGTCCATAAAGTGTGACTGAGCTTACTACCTTTGGGGCCATGGCTCACTTATTATCAGTAAAGGTAGGGACCATATCAATAACCAGCATTGCACTTACAGATGAGAATCATCTTCAACAGCCATGGTAATCACAGACATAGAAACATGTCCTGCTGAGTTTCAAAAGACCCAAACACCATCAACCTGACTGAGAAAGTCTTGCAGCATTTAGAATTAGACTGCTTAGTTGGTGTTTCATACCTTCTCAATTTTCTCTTCAGGATGATCCAGATCAGCAGAAAAAGTGCCCAATGCAACACGAAGCAGTGAATCGAACAGAGGCTTTGCCAAGTCAGTTTCTATCACTTTTGATTGAGCAAGCTGCTCTCTTATTTCAAGTAAGATATCATCCACACCGGTGTTCTGTGTTTTGGGGGAGACAAACATTTTGATTCATGTTACTGGGTTCTGGCTAACAGAAACAGTCTAGTACTTTCATTCAACAATTTCTTCCTACACTAATCTGACTTCTCAGCTAAAACCATCAAACTTCATCCAGTCCCTTGAAACAAGAAAGATTCATCCTGTTTGTCATGACAGTTAATTGGAATGTGCACACTGAAAAAGTCTAGCAAAATGCTGTTATCCAAAATTTGCAAGTGAAAGCACTGTTTCAAAAACAAGCATCCTTGAAAAAGTTTCAGGTACAGAGTGCGCATTCAAACCACACCACAACATTACTAGGAATTAACAACACAGAAGGTGACACATCCAAGTTCAAAAAAATAGCAAGGGATCCAGACAAAAGTCCAGTTTCCACTTCTTTCCTGTACTTAATGCCTCCTGCTTTTGCAACAAACTGCCAAGTAAAATTCAAGACAGCAATTAAAACATTGAAGCATAGTGAAGGTGTCTTCTGTGAATTGACAGCTTTGTAAACACTGATTTAGTTCACCTGTATAGCTTAAGTAATATTTTTTCAGGTGTCTGTTCAGTACCTGTGCCCTCCAATACTCCTCCTTCTCAAGCATCAGAACCGTCATCAAAACCGATGTGTGAGTCACTGTGAATAATGCTCACATCTTGCCCATACAGCTTTCCTGCAGCATCCCTGTCACACACACTCTCCACTGAAGGCTCTTTCCCAAAGAGTACCACTACCCTGACTACGAGGCACATCATTTAACTGTATGCTTTCAGTACTACACAATATATGGTACCATAAAGGGAGCACAAGCTTTTTTCTCCTCTAGAACTTCTGACTCAACTACTGTTAAAAGATTATTGTATGTAACAAATATGAGCAAAGTAAGCTAAGGGAAGTTACACAGTACCTGGTGAAACATCTCCACTTCCATCTTCTGCTGCATGGTGCTTGCACTATGCAGACAGATTGTCAGCAAAGCTTCTAGAAGTCTGATACCTTGAAGTGCCCACTCAGTCTCTTCTCTTACAGAAGTCTTTATCTCTTCAAGATTAGCAACTGAAGTAACTGAAGTGTGTTCCCTACTCAAAGAGCTGTCACAGGAGACAGAGTCAGACACCAGCTGTTCTGCACCAGCAAAACTGCCAGAACTATCAAGCTCCAATTGCGTCACCTCTCTGTTTTTAGCCAGCTGAACAGAGTCATTCTGGTTGAGAAGCTCAGCACGAGGACTCCCATGCGAACTTCTGCTGCTTACACTTAATACTTTCTCCCTCTTTTCTTGCTCCTTTTCCTTAATTTTTGCAAGTTTCTGAATGATCAGAATTAGTAATCTATGGCATGCTTCAAAGCCTCCAAGTCTATGGAACTGTCTCTGGAAAACTGAACTATACAAATAGATGCAACGACACATGGACCAAATATCCGCAGCCCTATGAATATGTTCCAGAGAGGGCAAAGTAAGGCTTTCCAGTGACAGATAGGGTAATTTGTGGCCTAATGGCTCACTCGCTGTACTATCATATCCTGATGTATCTTCAGAGTCATTAGCTGAATCCAGATCACCATCTGCTTCTTTACTGACACACAAAAAAGCAACACAGAGGAACAGATTTATTGTGTTGACATGAATGTCTTGGCTCACAAACTTTTTCTTTTTGGGGTAAGCTTCTTTCAAGCCAGCATAAAACTTGCTCAGGCTTTGAGGAACTTCTGAAACAGCATGCTGGCTGCAAAGAGAAGTAGGCAAGTCAGATGTAGATTCCTTTTGTTCGCTGTCCAGGCCTTCCAGTTCTGGCATTGCATGGTCTTTCTGCTGATCACCAAGGCAGAGTATCAGAGTCTCTAACACTTTCAAAGAGTGGCTTCTCAATGTATCTAAGTAATTTAACTCAATCATTTGATTCACTCCATTACAACTCAGAAACAAATCTCTAATTACCCTGCAAGAGAAAGCATAAGAGAATTAACCTTATAAATCAGCCACAAATACATGTAGTTCAGTAATTGCTAGAAATTGCTGTAGATTAAAGAGAATAGAAACTTGTTTGCAGTGCTCTAGAGTCCAACTGGTAGTGGAAAATCCAACTTTTTGCCAAGATATAATGTAGGAAATGCCTCCCTCTAAAATGTAGAGCACAAAAATGTATAATGTTTCAAAACACTGAGGGTGTTTAATTGTTTATGACGTTTGCTCTTTAGTGGTACTCCCATCCCCCAATTTTTTACCAGCAATTGGAGCTAGTAAATATCGTTACTTCTCTGTTCTATGAGTTCATCATTAAGGAGAGATTCCTTCGCAAGCAAACTTGAAGACATTTTCCTGGCTATGTCTGTTAGTTACATGGATGATGTATTTCAGGTAGAATTCAGAATACCTTTCAAGCACAACTTTCTGTGCAATTGTTATGCCAGCATGTCCAATGTAAAAAACCCAACCCCCTTTTGGTATATTTGTTTCCAAGGCTATTTTCCCTTTTTTCTACTCCCGAAGCTTTATGCTAAGTTCATCCAAAATTTGAGGTAAGGATCTATGTTTTTCACTGTACTAGGGTTGCTTGTAGACATCCACCTTACCCTCCTATCTCCCTCCCACAGGTCAGATTTTACTCTAACCAAGTTACTCTAGAATCAAATGAATCATTTACTTGTATATTCTCATCTTTAATCCAGTAAAAAACAGAATAATGTAAACTTTTTTTTGAATTTAAACTTTATTTCTCTTGCTTCTTTGCCACAAAGTGGAATTTCAAAAATTAATAGCTTCTGACACAATTTTAACTTCTAACCTAAACTATATTAGACAATCTTTTACATAAACTAGAATACTAATCTATTCTTTGCAATTGTCTTGGATAGCCCCACTAAATTCACTTCAGGACTCCAATAGAAATAAAATCAAAATCTTTCCTGGACAAAAGGACACATTCATACTCCGAATTTCCTCAATTCAGCAATAAATACAAAGTTTCTATTTCATGCCTCAGAAGAATATTTGTGGGGTTTGTGTGTTTTGGCATTAGTTTAAAAACAAAACCCAAAACATGTTTAAATGCACAGGATTTTGTAAATTAGAAAACAGTTATTTCAGGACAAGTAAGGATCAGTCCTTGTTTTTGAAAGGAGGTTTCTATAGTGACAATCCTAGAAGGAAAAGGGAAGCAGATCAGAAAACTAAGCAGTCTAATTCCCACAGAAAAATGACATATCGATCTGTTCAACATTCCTGACTCACTTTAGCATGAGGAATGAAGAGGCAAAGAGCATGCCACATTGGACAAAGATTATTTGTTTCTACACACTTTAGCTTGTTATATACCATAACCCGTGAGTAGAGAGCACTCACTTTCTATTGTGAAGAATCTAGGATTCTCTTACGTCACTCAAGCATTTACCTTGTTGCCACCTGCAATATCCAAAAGCACTGCCTGAAGTCCAAATAAAACTTACATAAAGCTTTGCACATAATTAACATGTTTTCCAGTAAGAAACAGAAAATCAACCAACCTGGATTTAAGCAACACGGGGAGCATCTGCAAATAAACCTGAAGTACTTCAGAAGGCAAACTCTGACTATGGTGACTGCATGTGTGTTTATCAGCTGTACTTAGTCCGAGCTGTTGTTGAGCATGGCAAGCTAGCTCAACTCCTCTCTGAAGCACAGGATTATAAATACAGTTATATAGTTTCCATTGGACCACTACATTTCCCTTTTGAATTAAGTGGCAAATATGGCTTGCAACCTGCATGCCACGTAGTTTGTCTTCTTCAAAAACAATGTCCTGGTAAGCCTCCAATGCATGCCATCTCAACAACATATCTTCAGATCCAGTGCTAGGCAGAATTCCCTGAACTCTGCAAGAGGGACTAGACACAAGACTAGCATCACTAGCATTGCCCTGCAAGGCATCTTCCAGTTGAGCAAGTTGATCACAGTCTACAGTACATATATTGCATGACGCCTGAATAATTTTTGGTGAGACTTCTGCTCCACCCAGTTGATCCAATATAAACTTGTTAAGGATGTTTAGTATGTGCTGTTGAAAGTTTTTTAATATTGGTAACTTGGAAGCATGGAGCAATGGGACGATCACAGACTTTGGATCCATACAACAACATATTCCTACGCTATGTACACCCGAGAGAATCTCAACACAGGTACTGCTCAAAGAAACTTGTTGCAACAAGTGCAAACACTGGTGTGCACAAACAGCAATGCAACAGCATCTCTCAGGATAAACAACTTCTCCATCAGCAGTTTCGAAAGGGGTTTTGGAAGCTTGGTTTTTAAAAGCTGATACAGAGAGCCCAGAGAGATCTCTGTGGTGATTCATGAAGTGAGAGTACTCACATCGTCTGTGCCGCTTTCTTGTACACATTGATTGATGGAGCTGCTCTGATTTCACTTTTTTGACAGTGCTGATTATTTTCATGATGCTGTTGACTAAGGCTTTCAGATGCTCTGACGCTTCCCCAGGTACTCCCTCATTCTTCATGCACAGCCACTCCATTTGAAGCACTGTTACTTCAAACAGCTTAAATCCCTGATGCTGTATGAACTCATGAACCAGATCTATAGCTTGGCTAAAGTAGAATGGATTGGAGGCTGCACTCTGTAGGCAGCAGATCAAAATCTGCAAGACCCCTTCTACAGCCTCAGGTAGAAGCAAGGCTCTGTGACGATATCTAGAAAATATGTAGTCATCCTGAACTGGCTGCTGTAGTGTTTTCTTGTACTCTGGAGAAAAAGGACCAGGTTGCTTTTCCAAGCAAGTTCTGATTTTTAATGCTGCTTTAAGCAAGTCGGTTAAATTTCTTCGTAAATTGTCAGGCATTGTCTCTGTATTGCTAATGTCTAAAGACATAAGATGCAGCACTGTTCGAAAGAGCATCCTTTGTATCAGAGCCACAGGTTCTTCTGTCCACCCTGCAGAAACTACTTCGTTTTCTGTGCTACTACTTACATTGCAGTCACCAAATGCTGATAAGAACTCTGTCAATGTGGGCACCACACTGGCTGAAAGAGCAGAGCTGTGATTCAAAGCAGTATCAAATTTGCACACTTTCTCTAGGAGAGACAGTAAGACATGGCATAGGTCAAAGGGAGAGTTTTCTGTGCTGCTCCTAGAAGTTCCTGCAGCTGGCTCATTCGAAATCTCTGGGTTGAGCTCATGTGCTGGAATAATTTTGCTGGAATGTTCTAAATTAGGGGCATCAGGATTAGAATTTGGTACCACTTGTGCAGGTAGGCCATCACTTCTACCTGCAGCATAGCTGTCCCTAACCGGATATGTTAAAAAAGGCTGAAGTATCTGGGAGCGCCTGTGTTTTGTTGTTACAGTTGTCTTTTCATCAGAATTGCCTTCAGAATCTGAAGTGGACAGCTGAGATTTCCTTGCATCTCGCACAGAGTAACGGTGAGTGGTTTTGCGCAGACGTCCGCTTTTTCGAGACCGAAGACTGAGTTTTACAGAAGTCTGAAGAGAAGAATGAGTGCTTCCATCTAAGTTTGGTTTTTCCTGAGTAGATTTTACTGAACTTGAATTATTCTCTTTGGTCAGACATATGTCTACTGTAAAGGGTATATTAAAATCTGTTGAAACAAAGATAACAAAAGAACATTATAATATGTAAAGCATTTTTCCTAATTTCACAGTTAAATACTTCCAGATTCAAACCATGCAAAAAATTCATATCTTAACAGGTCATGGCCTTGCATATACCTATATCAGACATCTTCAGTGTCAAACAGGCAGCAACAACTCATGTTTAGGAGCCATACCGGCTATTTTCAAAGTCTAGACAAATCAGCTAATTTTCTAACTAGGGTTAGACAAAAGTGTGCCAGTGTTTCCTAAAACTTTTTGTGGGCACAACTATTCCATTCTCAAAAAGATTATCAAGGTAGATGAAAGGACTTTTTGGTAAGTAAGGGGAGGAAAAAAAAGGTTTTTTTCAACTTGTTGCTCCATTGCCACTTTCTGCAATTGAGCGGCTATAGGAACTGGGTGTGTTAACCCACAGTCTGCTTAGAATGAATGAAGACATTGCTGATGTACCAGTGGGAATAGAAGAAATACATTTCTCTACTTAGAAACAATACAGATCTTCAAGTATACAGACCTCAGTCTTTACTGCAGTGTTAATTGTTCTAAATACAAGAAGCAGAAATTAAAGTAGGGGAGTTTAAAACAGTCAGGGACAAGAGGGAGATGGAAAGGAATAATGCTTAGGATGCTGAGTATTCCTACAAAAGCAAAGACAAAAACCCCAACTGCCATATAAAATAGCAAATATCAATTTTAAATCTGATTCAATGGGCAAGAAGACTTTGAAAAATAAAATGCAAGTACTACTGGCTCATTTGTACTGGTGAAATTAGATCGTAAACTATCAAAAAAGCAGGAACAGCATGTTCTTGGATTAAATCCATTGTTATTTTTAAGTAGTTTTAGAACTGTAACTGGATGTTTCAGGCCGTAAAATACTTCGTATAAAACACTGGATGGTGGATACTTGCAGTTAAGTTCAGCAATTAGAGAAATGTGATAAATAATAAGAACAGCCCCCACCCCCACAAAACCCCCCAAAGCCCACATAATAGCTACTAGCATTCACCAAGCTGAAAGAAAAGATGCTTCCATGTGCAAGCATGACTATGCCTTTCTGCTTCAGAAGTCGTAGTTGTGATAGTTAAGGAAGAAACATCACTTGCTTTGAAGGCAGGAGTACTTTACCAAACAAATGATATTCCCAACTGGATACATCATGTTTACTGCATCAGTACTAAGATACAGTCATTTGTAGAAGTAAAAACTGTACGTTATGCAGTGTATAAACCACAACATCTTAAAACCTATTTACACAACAGCATTTTAAACTAACCCTGAAAAAGCCACTAAGCTGTCATAGGATAACCATCATGCTTACAGGAGCATGAAAGAATGATGCAACTCAGCAAGCAGGAAAAGCTTATTATATAAAAGCTCTATGAAACTGGCACTTTAAAGCCTCCAAGCATACAAACATGAACAAAAGCCTTCAATTTCCAGTAGTTTCAAATAGCAAAAAACATTGGGAGAGCTTCAGGTAAGAATCCTTAGGAACTCTCTCAGTCAGTTAACTTCATTTATTTCATTCCCTTTGTTTTATCTTCTAGGAGGGAAAAGAACACATCACACAAATATAAGAGCCAAAACCAAAACAAACAATCGCTGCCATTTCCTAGTTCAGTTTTTGCACAGAGTTTAATTGATATCACCCCTATAATTTAATTCACCTTAAACTGACTCTAAAACACATGTTGTATGAGGAAGGGCTGAGGGAGTTTGGTTTGTTTAGCGTTGAGTAGAGGCTCAGGGGTAACCTCATCACTCTCTACAACTACCTGACAGGGGGTGGAGAGAGGTGGGGGATGGTCTCTGCTGCCAAGCCTGCAGTGAGAGGACTAGAGGGAATGGCCATAAGCTGAGACAGGGCAAATTCAGATTGAAAATCAGGAAAATTTTTTTCACTGGTACGGTAGTCAGGCACTGGAATAGGGTGCCCAGGGAGGTGGTAAGGTCACCATCTCTGGACGTGTTTAATAGGAGTCTGGACCTGGTGCTGGAAAATATGGTTTAGGGGTTACACCAAAGTGGCAGGTTAATGGCTGGACTTGATCTTAGAGGAGGTCTCTTGCAACCTTGATTATCGAGCAGCCAAACCACAAGGGTTCAATTAGCACATCAGCTTCTGACATGGAACATGATATTCTCTAAAGAATGAAGCCTGATTGTGTTCATAATAATTCAGTATTATTCTGTTTTTCGGGGCCTGACTTCCTGATAACCATGCACTTCTTTCACTTTCTGTCATCCATGGCTCAGCTTTAAGCTTATTCTCTGCTTCCCAGTTCTTCAATTTCAGACAAAAAAAGTCTGTTTTAAAAACAAACAAGTGGTATAAGCTGACACTAGAGACAGAATGAGACAATGAGTATGTTTCCCCTTCTACTCATCATGAAACACTTCACACATCAGCAGAAATATAATATACTCTTACAAATCCCTTTTCCCCTCAAATCACCTGAAAAGAAAAATCTTTCCAACATCAAGCTCAGCTACACAGTAATGTAAGCATTGCCTTTCACCCTGTGCAAAGGCCTTTATCTTCTGTATACAATTTCTATCTTCCTTGTATGCTGACAACTTCTGAGTTTAAATTCTCTGCAGAATCCACATCCTCATTCTGTGTTAGAGGATATGTACTGCAATGAATTAGTCCTCTTTAGTCAAGTGTCCCAAGCTCTGTAGCAATACACAAACCACTCCTTTTAGGTCTACATACCTGTAAGTGTATAATACCCTCAGTGATAAAACATACCTATTGCTTTTTCTTCTTGGACAGGGATCTTCCACACCAATGGCAGAAGTGACAGGAGGAGGGTGAGAAGTTCTTCTCGACATGTCAGCTCCTATGTTCAGAACAAAATAAAAACAAAGATCTTGTACTCTTAAAAACTAGATTAACTTTCTTTATTTTACCAAGCTATTCAGCATTCAGCTCCCTATGCCTTGCTGCTGTTTTAAGCACTGGAAAAAATTACTTACTGCAAATAATCATTAACTAGAGCCAATCAGAAAGCATCCAAAATATTTATTACACCTCTGCAACTATTTCCATACAAAGCTCTCCTAATCCCTCTTGTTGAAGGAATTCCTTACTTAAAAGAAGAAAACCAGAAAAGCCCAAAGCACAGAACTTGTTGATTTAAACAAAGCCAACATGAAGCCAAAGACAAGTTTGAAACTTCTGTCATTCCAAAAATAAAACTTTGAAGAACTTGATGGGAAACTTTCTACTTTCTCCCAGATGACACCCTTAAGCAACTGAAAAAAGCTTACATTTATAACTGATATTATTGACTCATAACAGAGGTAAAATTTTATGGGAGGAAAGAGAGAAGGTTAATCTTAATTTATAAAAAACCCCACACAATAACCACTAAAAACCCTTTTACTCCTACTGGGATTCTAACACTTATATAGTAAGAATTCCAATACAGAGAAAAACTGTAGCAAGTACAGAATCCAAACACAATTCCTTTAGGGGATGCTTTGCAGCATTTGCAGATTGGTTTCAGTCCTAAAGGTCAAAAATTTTCAAACACAAAAAGCTGACTCAAGCCTTTTGGCAGGTAACATCATTCAGGGACATGCAGCTAAAGCAACATCCTTCACTAAAAATTCAAGGTAGCAATGAAATGAAAATTTACATAAATAAGCAACTTCAATTGGAGTTTTTAGATATAAATATATATATATATAACACAAATATATACAGTTATATAGAGAGATAGAGGCATAAAAATAGCATTTCTCTGATGAGACTATCAGATTCAATGAAAATTTAAAAAAAATCAAAAACTATTGATACAATCCAATAAAGACCTAAGAACTAAGTTTTTTCCAAAGTTATTCTTCCAACTCCTACTAAAGATATTCTCAGGAAGATAAATTAATTGAGAGGGTGAACGAGCAACAGAGCATTCAACATACAATAATAAGGCTGGAAAAGCAAACCCTAACTTTTCTAATTTCAGTGGTACACCTTCAGAAAATTTACTTTCCTCATTAAGTTCCTCTTTCCCCTGCCTTCCTTTTCTTAAAAAATATTCCCTTAGGAAATGTTTGCTGAATTGCAGATGCTACAAGCTTTTTTTCCTCTTCTACTTCACAACTGTGTTTTTATTGGAGGGGAGGAACATGGAATCCCCCATTTCCTTCTCACATGAAAGCCAGCTGTCCTTCCAGCAGCTCTAGTCCCAAAGCATCTATTAACAGCAACTATGCAGAACTCAAGTGACATCTAAAAAAAATCCACAGTTATATATAACTTCAGTCTCGTGGACTTATTGTTTAGACAGTGCACCTTCTGGAATCCAGAACCAAACCACAAGTTTAAACTGGAGTTTTAGCACAAGTGACCTTATGAAAGAAAAATCAAACCTACAAGATGAATCTGAGCAGCATTAACAGCTGACCTCACTTAAGAAAAGGGCTGAATAAACTCAACCAGGATTCACTTAGTTCATTATATTTGTAAACACTGGGATCTGCAGTTTCAGAGCTCAAGATTCAATGAACATCTCAGCCTACCAATTGCTTAGTATGTATCCAGTAGTGTTGGCGAGAAGGAGAAGAGAAAAACAACAAAGAAATGGACAACATGAGCCAGACAAATCTACAGTCAAAGCTCAATACGAAAATTATAACCAGTTAAGAAAAGCTACTACCTGATCAATAGTTGAGTTCAGAGTGGTAAGCAAAATGAACCCACGGCCTTGAACTAAGTATTGTCCCAGTGCTGCCATATGAGTTTCTTCTTCTTCATCTTCCTTGGCTTCTGTCCTCTGTACCACTGCATTGCACAGTCTGTTGACATCAGTCAAGAATTCCCGTGCCAGTGAGTTACTGGCACTGCTCATGTCTGAGCTGTAAGTAGAGGAAAGCACAAAAATTAAATCCATCAGTAAACACATTCCTTATGGAAAAAATGCTGGGGAAAGAGAGGAGTATTTCTTCCCTGTATCTCTCCCCCTCCGAAGGATAGTGTGTCTGTAGAACTGAGGAATCAATATACCAATGTAGGGCGGAAGAGAATGGAAAGAATGAACTTAGAGAATTTATTTCAGTGAAACTCTAGCTAACAGCCCATGATCCCAAACACTCATTTTATATACCTATCAGGTAAAAGCCTGTGACAGAGCATTCCTTCCCACTGCATAAATGAAAGCCAATGATTTCATTCCAGCTTCTCTTTGTAACCTAGATGTAAGCTTGAACATTCATCTGCTTCTGAAAGGTATTTCACGTGAAGCACAAGGGGAAGCATGTAGCTCTTGTACAGAAAACATGTTCTTTAATAGTTTATTTGAACTCTTTCTCTTCTATCATGTTATGTATTCCAACAGTAGACAGACTGTTTCAAGGGGGAAAGAAAAAATTAATCACTCAAGATGAATAACATAGTTGCAGAAATACAATGCTTTAGATTTACAGCTAAAACAGAAGGGGCTTCCCTTCAAGCATGACTGAGTGGGTGGCAGTCACTACTACACTGTGCTTAATTTAAGAGACAGTTCTGCTGCCCATGTTCAGGAGGAAATACTAAAAGCATTGGTTCTGCTTCCCCAGCTGATTAACTTTGCTTTGGATAATGCAGACAAGGCACTCATACACTTTGTCTATTCATTCTTATAAACTCACTTTTGTTATCCTCTCTCATGCCACCCCATTCTTTGGTTGGTCAGCACTAGGACATGGTGAAGCGTTTAAATCAAATAAGACAAGAAATACAAGACTCAGCTGTAGAAAACCCTCAAGAGGATCACTGAACAAAGCAAAACAGAAACAAGAATCAGTGATGGCAGCTATGGAAACAAGGCCATTTAATCCACAAAAGCTCCACTTAATGAATGCTACAGCACAGTTAACTCCTTTTATTTCTGTATAAACAGATGAAGTAAAACCTCCACAATTCAAATATTTCCATCATGTCCAAGCATAGAACATGCAAAAAAAAAAGGCAAATAACTTTCAACGTAACATTTAAATATAACAGGTGGATTAATATCGCTTAAGAAAAACCCACATGTAATTACTATGCAAAAGAGCCTTGTAAGAAAAAGTAAGTTTGTTCACACTAATGGTACAGAAAGCTCCTTTCAGTAGGAGAACTGTGACTACTTATACATATAATGACATTTACTACACCAGAAAAATTCTTACCAGAATCACTTTGCCAGCTCAACACATTTATCTTCTATCTGGAAGTAAAAGCAAATATATTCTGGAAATATCACTCTTGGTTCACCTGTTTTTTACAAGCAAAAAAACATATCGTTAATATGCAAGTTCTTTGTTTTTAAAAATATTTTTATGATAGCTGTTTGAAGTTTATGAAGAGCCCTTGAGGCTTTTTTGAGCTTTAATGCTCTAGTCTGCACTTTTAGCCTATGATTGTGCACAACTGAAATCCTATTACAGAGAAAATAATTGGGGCATATGGGATAAGTTAACATAACAGTGATCACTACCTGCATACATAATAGCTGAAGCACTGGCAGCCCTCGGTGCAAATGATGCACAGTAGGAAAAAATGCAGTCAGGTGTTGATGTAAATGTGTCTTAAATCCATCCTTCTAGTTTGTCCTGACAGACTACCAGTCTTTATTACATCAAACACTGAGGAAGATATAGTTAATAAAAACTGAAAATTTATCAATGGGAAACTTATCAATTGGAAATTCATCAATGGGAATGCAAAGGGTAGTAACCAAGAAAAGCCTCAAAATCTTTCAACCACAAAGGTCTCTAAGTGAGAGCTTTGAAGACTTTTATTATATCCATAGTTAATTAAGTATGGGGAGAAAAAAAACCAACCAAAACAGATGTGGATAGGAAAAGCGAAGACATAAAAAGACTAAATCAATTATTTTAGTATTCTGAGATGGTAATAAAAACTTCAAGTTAAAGCTGTGATAAGCATGAACATTACACGAAAGACTTCCCTAAGGAAGGAGACAAACACTGCAGGCACCCGGGGCAAGCTGCTAATAATTGGCCTCCCTTTGAGTGCTAAGAAACAATGTTTGATCCACAGCCTCACAAAAAAACCCTAACAGCTAACACAATTCACTGCAATAAAAAGGTTTCAGCAGCTAGAGGTTTTGCAGTTGCTGCAGACTACTAGAAGATGTAGAAACATACTGTCCATCATGTTTTAGTGCCCTTCCAATCTCCGGGTTTCCTGCACTGCTTGCATTGTTACATGGATTTAACACACATTGCCACTTCCTATGAAAAGGGAGGATTCCCAGCATCAGTGGTAATATAAGCTACTCTTTTGTTGCCGTTAATGCAAAAAGACATTAAGCGTATCTTCTTAATATGACAATTTAATACAAAATGGATAAGGAATTATGATGCTCTCATTCTACAGTGCAGAAAAAGCCTGTAAAGAGATACCACGCTGCATAATGGAACACTCAGGACTTGTTCCAACAAGTGCTAGCTAGTTCTCAGTTGTACCTATTTCTTTTTCTGCAATTAAGTTCTCAAACAGCCTGACAGCACAAACATCTTTGGAAACAGTTTGTGATACAATCTCATTCTTCAACCCATCTTGAAGCTACAGATAAAAAGAACAATACAAGGAGAATTGAAAAATAATTAAGAAGCTTCCAAAAAAGCTGCATATGGACAGACAACCTTCTTGCTTTTGTATTTGCTTCCTGACAAGTGATTTGAGCTCTTAAAGAGCATTACTTTTCAAAGAAGAACTCAGTGAACCCCTTGCCCTACTGCCACTGTAGTACAGTAAACACTTTGCAGAGGTGGGGTTTGGGTTTGGTTTGGGTTTTGTTTGTTTGTTTTAATCCACACCCACTCTACGATTTCAGCTTGCTTGTCACCCTTCTGTTGTAGATGGTGATACTACAGTCCAACAAAGTATGCCAGGCAATTTGATTTAGGTAGGATCTACTTACTCTACTACAGCATTTCCCTTTTCTTTCAAGTGGCACATCTAACTGCTGTGATGCCTGGCAATATGGCAGCAGATGCTGCACAAAAACCTTGGTACTTCAAACTTCAGAGATGTCACCTTAACTACAGAAAAACCCCAAAACATCACATATGAACTAAGCCACAGGAGAGCAGCAAGGAGCCTACTGGAATGCTGTGTACAGCTCCAATGGGACTTTCACAGTTCTGGAACACACTGTCAGGGCTTCACATAGCCAGCCCTAAAACAAAAAATAAATTATCACCATACTCCATTTAAAAAAAAAAAAAAAATCACCTCTACTACCTGGTATTTATTTCTAAAAGGAAAAGATCCACAAGTTTGGGTTTTTTTTTAAAAAAAAGCCACTTAATCATGAGTGACCTGACGCTGGCCTATAATCTGCCCTCCTCATGCCCATCTTTCCATCATGCTCATAATTCAACCTGTACCACATCTGCTCTCTGGGCCCTTTCTGCACCAGCTCCCAAGGGAGTTATTTTCAATTTGCTGTTGTAGCATAAATCAATTTCTTGCACTTGTATTCTCTCTGAACATCTTTTCATCTTTATGAAGTTGCTCATCAACTGAGCATCTGAAAGTGTAAGAATGCCTTGTACTTACTTCAGTGGACTTTAAGCCTTTAACAGAACGTAACAAAATCGTTCTTTAAGGAATGGAACTTAAAAATAAGACCAATTTAGCAATCTTGAATACTGAATCATTAATACACTAAATTTGTATACTGCTAATGATTAAATGGGATTATCTCTAACATCAGTGCAACTTGTGGGAAGAAGAAAATGCAACAAAAGCTTAGGGTCAAAACTAGTACTCCACACAGAGTGAACCGGTCTTTTCCTTGGTTATGTTTTCAGCAATGCAGAAAGGCCTGGAACGTCCAGTATTACAATAAAAAGTAGCAATTACTAAATTATTACAGCAGCATCATAATAAAATACAGTACTAAGTCAAATGAAGCCAAAACCTCATAATACTGGTTTATTACTGTCAATAACTATTGTCCAACAGTTGCAGCAGGAGTAAAGGAGAGGCAAAAAGTTTGGTGATGGTCTCCAGCTGACACAACAGCCTAAACTAGTGTTCTAATAAACCTACCTCTCCACAACTTAAGTTTTCCTTAAACGTTAATTTTATAGCAGTAGCAAAAAAAGGAACTACCTAAACCACCTCTATTTGTTGTGAAGCAGATAGCAATAAATTTTTTGAACTGCTCATTATTAGTTACATCGGTCTAAAATAGGCAAGCTGCTGAGTGCTGTCCATACAGCTGCAGTCAGGCTTCATTGCCTGACTAAAACAAGCTGATAATGTACCCAAGAAGGTATGCATGGCAGATACGAGGCACCTACAAGCCTTCACCTCCTGTAACTCACCGTGTTATCTTCAATAAAGCAGTCTTGTCTCCCAGGTTAAAGGAATATCTTACTGCACTAAAGGAGTGATAGCCAGTTTCATAAGAAAAATAAACGTACAAGAAGCTGTTTTACAGATGATGTAAAGAGAAGTAAAGAATACACAGCCACATGAAGTTGTTAGTTTATTTACTTTCCCTAGTTTTCTGTTTGAGGTAAGAGAGAAACACTGACCAGGCACGGCATGGCTACTAGTCCTTTGAAGCACAGACTGCAATGAAGTTGCATTTTTAGTAGGTATTAACAATAACACTTTGAAAAAACCTGTTTCTACAAGCTGTGGTACAATCAAGTTCTTTCTGGTCTCCAGTTCAAAACTTGTAGTCCTTTCACCCAACCTCTAGAATAAAGTACATGGGAATACAAGTCACCATTGACCAACAAACACTACCTTTATTTTACACAGTTTATAATCAGAAATATATTTTCAACAGCAAATACTTGTCCCAGCCTCATTGCTTGTACTTAACATTTATGCTCTGCA